ACAACATTAAGAATTCGGCCTCATTTTCCTTGGTGGGTGGATTGTGGTGTCTTTATATGTCTGAGCCTTTGCTCGCCCACCTGCCCCGGTGAAACTGGAAAGGCCTTCGGGCCATCAGTAATCTCTCAATCATAAAAAAAAAGTCCAGTAACCAGCCAAGTCAGCAGCACATAACATACAGTCGTCCGTGATCACGACAAAGTAAATTATTTTATACGTCGGATCTAATAATTATGACAATTAAAAACGCTGGATTAAACAGTAAAAGTAGTTTTAATTAATACATAGCAGGTAAGTCGTGTGTACTAATAACATGCGCGCCAAAAAAACATTTATACTGTCATTGCCTATTTACCTTACTGCTGAGAATTTACTTCGGCCATTGAACGCAAGACAAATTTAAATACCACAAAAATACGTTTGAAGTTTGAACTATAAGAATTCGTTGGATTATTTCCAGGCGTGAAATGAAATCATAAAATCGCGGAATACAAAATGAAATAAAAAATATGTCTAAATATAATTGCGTTGGATGCGTGACGGTATTCATTTTAGGTAGATTTGTTTGCGTGAAACGTAATTTTAGTTCGTCTAATAACTTCGTCTTCGTCTAATAACTAATATTCTTGGAAGTCTAGGCAGCTCTGTCGATAGTAATGTTTTAGTGTGGGTGTAATATCTATATATTAATACGTGAAGCAAAAACTTTGTGTTCCTTTTTACGAAAATTGCGCGGACGGAGGAGTATGAAATTTTCCAGAGAATATATAGAAGAAGTGCACAATGCTAATTTTTTTTTTAAATAATGCTTAAAATATACATTAAATCAATAAAGGAAACATTACACACACTACATACCATGCATTTGACGCACACACGCATGCATACTATTTATTGTCAAACTTTTGTTATTGATGTCTGTGGTCAAATTGAGAATAGATTATATATTACTTGTCTTTGTTAATATTTTTTATAGTGTAGTCTTGGCGAAATTTGTGATTATAGAAGTATAAAATACAATCATAATAGTGTACAAACTTACAATTTCAATTAATTATAGTCGAATTTCGACTACTGCGGGACCTCTAGTCTATAAAATTAAGCATGGTTGAAATTATATTAACGGTTTTAGCGAAATTAAAATTATATTTTAATTAAAACGATTCGTTCTACAATAAAGATTTCACTAACGTAGCAGCTCTATAAAAGCAGCTAAACTTTTTCCCTTTATTGGCGTAGTATTTGAAGATGTAGTAAAGAAAAAAATTAAATCGTTTTAAAATTACCGTTTAAAACTATTCATTTAAAATTATTATAGAATATATTAATCGTTTAAAATTATTAGTTATAAGTACCTATAATAAATAAATACCTATTATAGAACAGAAGATATTTGACTGAAGCCCAAATCTCGCTAACAATAAGATATTATGTCTACATATTTGTACAAGTTTTGAACAATAACATAGGTACGGACCGTTGGTCTACCGAGCAACTTCGCCTGCCTGGTGGAAGATCTTCACTTTGTACATTACCTCCCAATTTTTACGTTAAATCTATTGAAACAACACTGTATAAACACCTATTCATTATTCAGCTGGTTCGCCCGAAATCTGTTGAAATGTCATAAAATGACAGAAACCTTTCATTATGGCGGGCTATTTATGTTGTCGGTGACCTGAAAGTGTCAACGAGGAAGGCGCGGGGGAGTATGGTTCAGAATTAGCATCAAGTTCACAGATACATAATGTTATAGTTATAGAGAATGACTATTATTAAACCTTAAAGCCGCGCGGTTAGATTCTTTTCTCGAAAAATACGACAACATAAATTCTTTATTGTCATCGAGCGCGGACGATTTTGGCTCGTGGACGTCAGAAACGATAGGGGCACAACCAATCTACTGCTGAAGACCCTTTTCAAATCTCCAAGAAGACTGGAGGTGGTAATTCGTTTCAGAACCGAATGGTAGGTACGTAGTTAAAGATGCGTTGAAACTCGGTGTGATGAACGCAGCGATTTCTGGTTGTAAAAGAAAACACTAGTGGCCAGGGTTGCGTTGCTAAATAAAGTTGAATGAGTTCAACGTATTTCCCATAAACATATGGTAAAAAACCCATATACAGGGTAAACTTAGCTACATGTAACGTCATTCGATTTAAGGACAAACTCCCTAAAGCATCGAAATCACTTAACTCTGGTTGGTTTAGCTTGCCTTTCATACAATGATACACTCTATATAGAATTACACCCACTCTCAATAACGACAACAATTATGTAACAGATAGGTAAAGCGTGTAAAGAGTACCTTTTAAGATGCCAAAATTAGTAAAAACTGCAGCTGTATCCATTCATCTGACGCTTTATTATCCTAGCCCGTAATATTAAAAATTATTGGGAAAGTACTTCTATTATTACCAAGATGCCTCAATATCGCAAGATATGAATATGATATTTAAAAGAATACAACAAAATTACTGGGCAGCAAAAGACGCCAGACAAAAATAATAGACTATACGCAATAGCGTTCAAATAACATTGTTTAATTATGTACATAACTATTAAGACTAGTCTGGGATAAACTTTTTCTTTTTATAATTCTGATTTTTCTTCTCTCCATTTTACGACAGCTCTCTATAACGCCATAAAATGGACATTCCCTTCAGTGTCGTTATGTAGAGTTTACACTGTATATCCAAAATCCATCCGTAGACCTAGAAGTTCTAAGTTAGGTGTACATGGCCGTTCCACCCTTCAAAATGGAATGCATCTAAGACCCAAAGCCGGAGTCTTATTTGCATTATACATTGTGTCAATGTTCCAACCAGCATAACTGCTACGCGACATAAATAGATAGGATTACAATACACGTCTATTATAATCCTTGGAATTTGAGTATTACAACACGATATTATTCTTTACGAATGGAATTCATTTGAGAACATGACGTGTTAAGTACGCCTTTTATTTTGTTTCCGCCTACTGATTTGTACAATGGCGTCGTGCCTAAAATGAAAGATAGATTAGGCCTTGAAAAGTATTTTTAATTAATTATATTAAATCCTCCGAGTTTTGATTAAAAAATAAATCGATGCTGTAAATTCAGATGTAACTTATAATTTGTCTCCTTTGCGTTCGATAGGAATACAATGAAGATGAGAAGATTTGATATGAGCACTAGTATAGCAGATGATAGTAGGGGTTAAAGTATGAAATTGCCGATTTGTACTGAAAAATTGGAATTGTTTTTTTTTCTCATTTAACATATTTAGATATTTGATCACAATATCTACTGTTATTATTATTGCTGTCATCTAACAGGAAGGTCATTTCTGCCTTTGCTATAGAACTCTGGTGATCTAGATTCTATAAACTGTGTGAAAGCATTTTGTACTGCCTCATGGGAAAAAAGCTTTTTATCACGTAGAAAATTGTCCAAAGCACGAAAAAAATGGTTAGTCCGTTGGAGCAAGGTCTGGCGAATACGGAGGGTGACAAATGGTTTCTAATTGCAGTTCCTGTAGGTTTCTCGTGCTATATGAAGAGTCGCGTTATCGTGGAGCAATAATGGTGAAGAATGAGTCAGGGCTGTTTCACTGCAAGTTTTGCTATCATTATTCAGGGTTCGGCACAGTAAGCATCTGCCGTTATTGCTTGACCAGATCGGAGAAACTATAGTGAATAACACCATGCTGAGACCACCAAACAGTTACCATTACCTTTTTATTGGTAAGCTTTGCTTTAGGACACTTTTGCTGCATTTGACCTGGGGTCAGCCATTGCATTTTTCGCATACGGTTATCGTAATGAATCCACTTTTCATCACATGTCACAATTCGATCCAATATTCTTTCATTTCTGTATCGATTCAACAAGGCAACAAAAGTTTCAACACGCGTTTCTTTCTGCAGATCAGTCAAACACCCAGTCAGGCACCCATTTTTCATATTTTTTTATTTTATTGATTTGACGCAAATGATTACGCAATATTATTAGTAGGATAACGTTAAACCATGTCGCTAATTCCTGGGTAGTTTGGCTCGGATCGGCTTCCACCATCTCTTTCAATTCATTGTTATTCACATGTGTCTTCTTCGTCTTCCACGTGGTTCGTTCTTCAAATCAAAATTTCCATCACGAAAGCACGGTGCGTTCATTAGCAGTCCCCTCTCCAAACGCAACATTGATATTGCGAGCTGTTTCTGCAGCGTTAGTTTCACGTCGGAAGTCGTAATCAAAAATCACTCGAATTTTCGAAGTATCCATCTTTCTTTTCTAAGCTGAATAAAAAAAAGCTACCGAAAGCCGATAATCGAATGTTGCACATTTTAAAAAGAAAAACTTCATAGGTACCATTTGAAATAAGTTTCACTCAAAAATCTCAAACCATGAAGGTTCTATGTCAATTCGTAGTACCTATTACATTAGAACGGCAATTTCATACTTTAACGCCTATTACTAAGTTAAGGTAGAAGATTCGGTAGAGAGCACATAATAATAATTAGCCTATCAGTCACGATTTACCGCCTGTTAGAGTATTCCTCCTCAAATTAGAACCCTTAATTTCTCAGAAGCATTTTTCCGATTAAATTAAAAATAATTTTCCGATTGCGTCAGAGCAAGGCGTCTAAACGTAGCGGCGTAGCCGTTGCGCGTCTTATATTGTGACAATGTTTTAATGTATTATGCTTAAATACATTTTTTATAAATCCCGAACTCGTTAGCGGCGCTCCAGAGCCGGAAATAGTAATGCTTATCATACTCCAGAAATATGACTACAAGGCAGGGCCGAACTCGGCGGAAAACTGGAGAATTCCAGGAATATTTTTTTAATTTTTTTTTAATTATCACCATTGAAAAACACGCAAAATTAACAAAGTATTAGAATAATTACGTTATAATTACATTTCAAAATTAGTCACTTCGCGTGTCATCTCGACGAAGTTGGCACGGTCTCATCAGAAATTTTGTAAATGATGTTAGAAACTTTCGTGATGCGTTTCGTCTCAAACGGATTCCGAGGTGGTCTAGTAATTAATCTGCGAGCTTCGCCGGGACACTGGGCAGATGTTCGTCGCATTCAATAATTATTTAACATTTCACAAGTAACGTTTTCGTTCAGTTGTATTCACATCGCGGTAGTGACAACACCATGGCTTTGGCATCGGAAGGAACGAACCTCGTGTTCACCTACTTCATTCTCCTGTTACTGCTGGTCTCTCTGTGGATGCTGTATTCCGCTTTTTAAAAATGGATCTGTGAGTAATCTGTATTTATTTATTGATGAAAGTTTTGGAAATTTAGATTAAGAGTCGAGTGTTATAAGCAACTGCTAGGTCGGTGTTTAGTCTGTGTTTCGATTATATTATGGTTTAGTGAATCGTTTTATTTCTTCTAGGTTGTTCGGTTTTCTGAAAAGTGTGTTTCTTATATTGCATGTATCCTGCCGGAAGCTAGAGTTAGTTATACGTGAGTGTATTTTTTTTAAAGCATCTCTCTTTTTCCTTGTTTTGATTCCAATCCGGATGAAAATATTCTGGAATGATCCTGCACAGTCGAGTTAGGCCCTGTCTATTGACGCAGTCTTGATGTTTGTAGCGGGCCGAAGATCCTCGGCCGGTCAGTCCTGCACGCACTGTTAACTTGCAATCATGCCGATCAACGCGGAGACCGTGAACCTCGCAGCCACGTACATGATCCTCGTCATCTTGCTCTTCTGCCTGTGGCTACTGTATTCCACCGTCTTCTAAAGTGAAATGAGAACACTGTAAGTCTTCAATTTACGACAGTACTGTGTGTTCGTAGTCAGTTTTTGGAATCCCCGCAGTTATCAACAGTCGGACGTCGGTATGTACTTATGTTCATATTTATAAATATGAGAATATTCGGCGTGAGATGGAGGCGTGGCGTCGCGTAGGCGCACAGCCGCTGGACGACATTCTAGGTGTCCACTCAGTTCCTTGTGACCGCTTGCGAAGTGAAGGCTCCCGCGAACGCCACCATGCCTAACCACGAGACCACCAACCTCATCGCCACCTACTGCATCCTGGTGCTGCTGCTGGCCAGCCTGTGGCTCCTCTACTCGGGGATGTTCTGAGGTGCTTCTCGTCGACTCATTCTTCGCCCTACGATCTAATGCGGTATTCATTTTTTAATTACGATTTAATTACGTCCTTCTTCAAACGAGGCTTGTGGAGAGTATTAAGCGGTAGGCAGCGGCTTGGCTCTACCCTTGGCATTGCTGACGTCCATGAGCGACGGTAACCACTCACCATCAGGTGGGCCGTAGGTTCGTCTGCCTATACGGCAATAAAAAAAAAATTATACGAACGCCACTAGTTTAATTTATTAATTCAATGTTTGAACTTGTTAATCTAAATTAGTGTAATTAAAGAAATTCCGTCTTATACATATGAAGGAAATTTATGGCATCACACCAAAAAAATGTGTATTGTCTAGTTAATTGTTAGCCACTACGTACATATTCGTTTGATGTTATATTTATGATTGAGATGATTTAGAACACCTTATAGTTCAACGAATGTTTATGCAAAAAATTTCTTGTTTGTTAATAAAGAATGCGTTTCTTACAACGTTATGAAATCTCTTAAAAAGTATTGATATTAAATAACTTTAACATCAAACGTGTTTAGCTCTATTAGCATTGTGAGAATCATATAAACCATCACTTGATCAGATCGGAGATATTAATTTTCGTCCATAAACATTTACATAGAACCGGGTTATAAAAATAATAGCCGTGAAACGAAATCCAGACGTTCGTATCGTGGCCGTTTTAAATATCTGCTGGAATCCAAAATAGTAACTCCGCGCCCCAGCGAGATCTGCTCGTGCGGTAGACATAACGCGAAGACATTATCACACGAAGACGTAAATAACTATTATGGAGCACACGTTTCATGAGTAATCATTAAATAAGAGAAAGATTTTGTTTAAAAAAAGATATATATATTTATTCTTGTTTGCATTAAAAATTGTACGGCTGCCAATAAAGTTGTTTTCATTGGACATTTTCATGCTGGTTCTGTAGTAAACATGTCATTCTGATGCCTCATGTTACGTGAACGCGTGGGTAGCTATATAATTTTAAATTTAATTTTTTAAAAGCACCGTAATTGTATAATTTACAAGCGTAGTTTTTTTTGACGAAAGCCGGTGATTGGTTCTACCTTAACGGATGGATAATCACAATTCTGTCTGTTCCTGTGGCGTAGCATGTTGCGTAAAGGACTCATATTTTTTTCTCCTACCTATTCTAGTGGCCTCAGGGGGACATGCTAGACTCTCCGAGCGAGTAGGTGAACCCACGGGGCTCTAATCTGGTGACGTTGCTAACACTAGCCCTAACAACGGCAGTGCTTCGCAGAATCTACCTCCGAATCGGAAACACGACCCACTGAGAAGATCCGACGAGAAACTCAGTGGGCTGTGTCTAGGGTTAGTTTACGACGGGTTCGACGGGAACGATGACCGGTGCTTGAGGTACCTAAAAGCACCGATAGTGGATCGGGAGGATCCCAAATGATGTGTTAAAAATTGCTCCGACAAATTTTACACGACACAACTGGGTTTTTGACCACATAATTATATAACAGTGGATCGCGGCATCCACACTGTGGTTCCTATCACTTCCCGTAACAGCTCGTATTGGGTAGGTCGTTGCTTAGTCTGCCGATCTGAAGCAGTAAATATGAGAAGAATCTGCGACATTTACAAAGGTAAAAATGCAAAGATTATCAATAAATAGAATAATTTTCCATGGAGAGTGCCCCAAAGACAGATTTGGCTGATCCGCATTAATCATGAGCCCGTAATTGGATCGTGACGAAAGTGTAGTGCGCTCTTCAAGATGTCAACGATTCACAACCACTACAAAATTCATTATGTTTAAAAGAAAAAAAAAACAATACTCTAGCTATAAAACTGCCAAATGCGTCAAATAGAGAAATAAGCAAAGTAGCCTACACGAAAACAATTTCAGCCTAAAAAAAAGCAAGCCCTTTATTTTTTTAATTAATAAAGAAAACTTATACGGATCATTGGTTTTTATACAAAATTACGATTCAATACAATCAATTACCGAACGACAAAATTAAAGATGAGACTCTTAAAAAGAGAACATTTTGCGTTCATTCTAAATGTCTTTGTAAAATCAAGTGCATTATTGTAACCCATCGTGAACGGTAAGTTTGAGTTTCCGTCGAGTACGTGAGACGCTGCCCTCGACTGCTCCTCTAGTGCAGCGCGGTAGTATCAACCCAAACACGCATTTTTTCCCCCTTACCTATTCGCTGGTAACCTAAGAGGGTATTCGAGCTACGCCCAGATGGGTAGGTGAGCTCACGGGCTCAACCTGATTGAATTTGCTAACACTAACCCTGGCAAGAATAGTGCTTAGCAGAATCTACCACCGGATCGAAATCGCGATTCACTGAGAAGATCCAGCGAGAAACTAAGTGCGCTATGTCTATGAAATGAAATGAAATGCGTTTATTTCAGGCAACTTAAGCCTATAAAATTTCACATACAATCACATAATATTTAAATCAAAATACAATAAAATTAAACTTACAATTTATCAAAATATGGGTTAGTTCGCTCGTCGAACACGCATTGCTGACGTGCCTTCTGCACTCAAAACGGAACCGCGGAGATGATTGACCTATTTTATTGTTCTCCGAATGAATCCATTAAGACAGCTTTTTATTTTATTATTATGGTTGATACGGGCTAAACTAATGGAACTCTAAAGTGAATACAAAAAAGATTAACCACTCCAAAACGTGTGTTGTTACGCGAAAGATGTGTATAGTAATATATGCTATGAAATTGTGGCTCTGAAAGCTAATTCGTTGCTCATATTCTTAAATAAATCTATAAGAAATAAACAGCTAAAAAATATTATCTTACTATTTGTTAGTAGCCTATGGGGCTATTCCACATACACGCGGAAGGATAGGTGAGCTCACGGGCTCAACCTGAGAATTTTGCTAACACTAGCCCTGGCAAGAGCAGAGCTTTACAGATTCACTGAGAAGTTCCGGCGAGAAATTCAGTCGCTTTGGTATCTGGGCTAGTTCGCACTTCAAACTCGACGAGAACGGTGTTTGGATAGCCTAAAAGCACTGAGAGTGGATCTGGAGGATACGACAAGTATTGGACGGTAGCGGCTTTGCGTTTTCTCGTCGCTTGGGTCGGTACGTAGTTAGAGGCGACCACTTTAAGAGGGTTATCGTGATGCACCGCTTTCCCAAAGAAGCGTTCCGACGCTGTCAGTCAAAATACTCCGATTTTTCGTTGGAAGCGCGGCGACTGAAACAAATCACAACACATCTACTTTTCTCGACGTTTATTTTTGGTTTTCTCAACTAACATTATAAATTGCGCACACTCGAAATACCTACTCAACGCTTTTTTTAACGAGTTGTCGTTATGACGTATTTCTTCACGAGTCATTTGCATACGAGAGTGTCGACCGGAGACGTTTTGAAAAGTTTTGAAATTCAATGATTTATTGCGATCAGCGAACATTTATTCTTGTCATTTCTTCAACTTAACTGTAATGGAATGATGATAATTGAAGAAATGGTCAGAAAGCTAGCGCGATGTATTTTTCGTCACTTCTCTTTTTGTTCTATATAGCGGAAGTCTTTATATTACGCCTAGATCAGGCACGTTGAACGCTGAGACGTCTTGACAAAAGGGCTATACTTTGGAGTAAGCCAGTAAACAAACAAAGCCAGATTTTCGTGAGATTAATTATTACTGGTGGTAGGAACTCTTGTGAGTCCGTACGGGTAGGTACCACCGCCCTGCCTATTTTTACCGTCGAACAGTAAGGCGTTTCGGTTTGAAGGGTGGGGCAGCCGTTGTAACTATACCGAGACCTTAGAACTCATAGCTCAAGGTTTACGTTGTAGATGTCTAAGGGCTCCGGTAACCACTTAACACCAGGTAGGCTGTGAGCCTGAGCTCGCCCACCCAACAATTCAATAACAAAAAAATTTAGCTACACGTTTCTGGTTTCCGGATCAGTATGACGAAAGTCAAGCCTTATTTAACAAATGGGCCTCAGTTGTAGCGCGACTCGTATTTACTGGTGACTGATAGAAAATGTATTGGGGCGTACGCATTCACTATGAATACGATACCAACAGCGTGAGATCCACAGCTCATGTAGCATCCACAGAAACCAGCTATTTCGTATTATTGTTTGACCGTTTTTAAAACTAGACGGGTTCTAAAAGTAAACATTTAATAAGTGTTATAATACTTTACCATTGACTGTATTTCTTGTCATCTCTCCCAGAAAAACTGGATCTTTAATGTAATGTCCAATGGCTACGCTAGGGATAATGCTAAAACATGAAGTTCACCAGCTACAAGATGTAATATAACACAAATATGACAATATAAAAAACGACATTATTAAACTATAAAAACAGTTTTAAGTTCAAGTGAAATACCAATTTCAACGATAGGCAGCCGCTTGGCTCTGCCCATGCTAGTGCTGATGTCCATGAGCGACGGTAACCACTTACCATCAGGTGGGCTGTAGGTTCGTCTGCCTGCAAGGGTTACAAAAGTTACCGTCATAAAACTGAATTAAAATGCACGTCTATGAGTTCACTACACTTTCTCAAGTATTCTGTGGCGGTAGCCATCACAGAACATAAGATATTTGACAGATGCCTGAATCTCGCTTACAACACTGTCAAGATAAACTTGCATATATACAAGTTCCGAAAAACAATATTCTTGTTGCACTAAGCGGCCTAAGCACGTCATTACGAATCCGCCCGACCCATTAATAGCGCTTTTAGGTACCACAAGCACAGGTCACCGTCCTCGTCGAACCCGTCGCCTGCAATGGACGGCTCGACGAGTGAATTAACCCACAGACACAGTCCACTGAGTTTCTCGCTGGATTTTCTCAGTGGGTCGCGTTTCCGATCCCGCGCTAGATTCTGCGAAGCACTGCTCTTGCTAGGGCCAGTGTTAGCAACACTCCCAGTTTGAGCCCCGTGAGCTCACCTATACGTCAAGGAGAAGCTGAAATAGCCTCTTAAGGCTATCAGCATAGGTAGGGAAAAAAACAATATTCGGACCATCGCCGCGTCGGTATACCGTGCAATATCACCCGCTCGGTGGAAGATCTTCCATTTGTCGTATATTTCCAGAAGAAGATCTTTAAGAATTCATATGCAGCCAACGACAAGCATTAAAAGGTTTGATTTGAAAAAATACACGAAATTCACGTGAACGCGTCGTAGCCCGTCATGATTTTCTCAATTTAATTTTAATTTACGTGGCACTGAACTAAACATAAATATCAAAGTCTCCGGCCGGTTTATGATCGTTCATGTGTTTTATTTTCAATGATTTTCTTTCGTTCTCAAACGAAAATTATAAAAGTATTATGATATGTAAACTACAAACGTGACGACAGGCAACGGCAATATATATATATTTGTCATTCAGTATAATATTTTTCTTTTTTATTGCACTATATAACCCACCTGGTGTTGGCAGAGCCTCAAACCGAGAAGACTGCTAACCACTTTGAGATATGTAGTCGAGGTATAGATAAAACTGTGTTGTGTTGCCGGCGACTCATTCTTTAAGCCAGAATAAAAGATAGCTTCGCGGCAGTAATAAGCAGAATAAAAATACTTTGTGTTGCTTTCTCAATAACTAAATGATAGTTAAAAATAAATAAAAAACACGCTTTTATTTAATTTTATTCAATTAAACTAGTAAATAGTAAATAAGTGTGGGGTGCAACAGTTATAAAGATTTTATTGACAGATATGATTATTTATCATTTTGATAATATATTAAAAAGCACCCCACACTTTTTTACAATTAATTTATTTTCTAATTTTTAGGATTTTCTATAAAAGCTTCTTGGCTTACATTTTCGTAAGTCACTATTCATAGAAAACGCTGTCGAGTTTGATAGTTGCTTACGGACCATTACCTAATCAACTGGACGGCGCCAACGCTCAACATATGTTATGGGCAAATATAAAATTTATTAATCAAGATCAAACTATATTTGTACAATGTAGGCTAGCGCACCAAGTGGTTTCACAGATTAGCTAGAATGAATCATCGTCATGAATAAGACACGAGAAACAGCTGCTGACACAAGGAACGCGCGTCAGCATACTTGCTTCCGAACCATTCGATCAATCCATCAGAGTATATTTCTGTGTTTGAAGGCACAGATAACCATCTGGCAGCTCAGTCAGCTGTGCCGTTTGTTTATCTGTGCCCACTTATAATTTACGGGAATTGCCATTTTAAATAGTTTCAATCGCTTTTGTAATCTACATTCCGTATCACCTACGCAGCTGCGGCCTGGTATCACCTCATCTCGCAACGTATGCGGGTGATGTCATTTATATCTCGATGTCATTTGTAGCCGAGCACGCTGCGAACAGTTCTCCCCCCCCCATTAAACTCACCCTGCACCCACATCACCCCTGCCCTGTGTGGCAGGGAGCTTTTGTCCGGGCAGTGGGGTTTTCCCCGAGGCCCGTTTCGTGCCCCCGTAAGGGGTACGACGACTCCGTTGATTGATTGTAATCTACAGAGACGTGGCCGTGCGAAGACATTCTAAGACTGATTTGATAAGACGCTAAATCGTTATAAAATGTTTTTTTAAATTGTTACAGATGCAGACAAGATAAGCCAACTCGAAGGAGATCATACGAGGATGGCGGATTAAACGAACCAAAAAAAAAAACAAAAAAATACAAACAATATCTCTAAGAAACCGTAATATTAGCACTTAAGTTATTTATAAGTTAGTTTTGTACAATCCCAAGCATTTAAATAACTTGAATGGTTGACAGCATTGGATATTCGTACGCAGACGATCGGCAATGAAAAACAATAAACAGCAATGTACACAAAATGCAAATAAAATGTGACATAGTTTACGTGCTGGGCATTCCAATTGAACTGAAGCATTAGGAAATGTGAAAGACATCTCTGTAATGTCATGTTTCATTATAAAATGGACGTTACTTCTCTTGTTGAACATCTTTGAGATAATTTATTCTTGTTGAATAACTAAGTTTTGGAATAAAGTTTTTTTATTTTATTTATGCTTTTCACTTTACACTCGGTGGAGCAGGAGCTAAGGGTCTTGGGCATGACGTGGGAGGAGCTAGAACAGACTGCCCAAGACCGATACAAATGGAAAAATTTGATTCGAGCCCTACACCCCAGCAGAGGGTAATAGGAAAGCATGATGATGATGATGATTTCAATGGTAACCGAACACATTTACAATCACTGGAACATTCGACTAGGAATAGGTCGAGATTTAAAATAGAACTAGCGCTGAAACAAAATCACTGTGAACGAACACCTATTTCTGCCGTGAAGCAGTAATGCGTTTCGGTTTAAGGGCGGGGCAGCCGTTGTAACTATACTGAGACCTTAGAACTAATATCTCAAGGTAGGTGGCGCATTTACGTTGCAGTTGTCTATGGGCCCCAGTAACCGCTTAACACCAGGTGGACTGTAAGCTCGTCCACTCATCAAAGCAATAAAAAAAACCTGTATCTCAACATCCGTGGCGAGAGGATAAGGTTGAAGAAGAATAAGGTTGTAAGTATATGTAATTAATTGTACATCTAGGGACTCGATTCTCATATTTATTAAGGATTTTGACTCTAACTGAAACAGAAGCTTTCGAAGCTTTTGCGCAGAAATTTTTGATATTCATTATTCCAAGATTGGCGCTTTGCTATAACAAATCGCGAAACACATCAGCGTTGCGGAATCAAACGGATTGAGTTTCAACTACAACGATCTTGACTCGAAAATATTTGAAGCTTTGGCAAACATCCAAATGTTCGCTACACCGATTGATAAACGTTGATTTCATAAAAACATATGTGAATGAGCTCCCTTAGTATCTCGATGATTTATTTATAGAATTCAATCTAATCGGTTTACATTATTTCAATGTTTTAACAAATTGAACAAGTAATGATCGTTTCGATAGCTGTATTAAAATTTTGATCAAGTAATAAATCTACTTTATGGCCGATGATTAAGGTGATTTAAGAGCATGTGGTTTGTTTCAAACATCGGCCTTTTACTTTATTCAGACTTTATTGACCAATGATTTTTTACTAATTCAAAAATTGGAAGGTCTTGGATATCTTCGTTTTAGGGACGTAGAACTACTGCTGTCTGAGCTCTCTTCCTCTTCCACTTCTTCTGTATCAGGTATCAGATTTAGATAGGTATCGCTGTCCAAAGTCCTCAAGTTTCGTTCTTTGGTCAGCAGTTCTTCTGCTTTGCTTGTACTCGGCTCTTCATCAGACATTGTTTTAGTTGTGCTCGTAGGTGCCTCTTTCTCTTCATCTTCGTATCTCACTTTAACAAAACGTTTGCTTGATTTTGCGACAGACGTCGCAATATCGAATTTATTTTCCGAATCCAAATTAGAAGGTAATATATCATCAGATTTCTCCTTATCTAGCTCTGTTTGATCGACTTTAGGTTGTGTATCGTGTGACTGGGTTATATCTATGGCTCGCATGAGCTCTTCAGCCGCATCAATATTCGAATCTCTTTGAATCATTTCTGAATCAGGCTCAAACTTTGATTCTGGTGGTTTGTTTTCGTCGGTGACTTTAATCAAAGCCAAAGTAGATTCTTCGTCTTCTTGTAAGAGCAGTATGTCTTTGTCATCAGCAACATCACTTTGTTCCATAGTTTCATTATCTTGTTTTTCCATTAAATCTTTGGCTGTTGAACTAGCCTTGTTTATTAAAGCTGATGAGCGTCTCTCGACTCGATCCACGTATTGAGGTTGTCTCGGATCCCGAGTGGACCGTGATACCGAGCCGAAAGATTCGCCTATCGATAGCTCTTTTAGTTCTATTTCATTTTGTTCCTCAGACAAAAGATTTACTGGTTCTTCTTCTAATGTGCCTCTACTGTTCATTGGCCATTTTTCTGTATCATTCGATTCGGATGCGGTAGGAATATCCGCCTCATGTGGTCCTGCATATCTTGATGATTGTTCTGAACCTAAACGAGGGGGCAAAGAAGTGCCTGTCTCTGTTCGCTCAAATGACGGTCTCTGTTTGAATTTAGGAAAGAAACCGTGATCATCTTTGCCTTGATCTTCTGAACCTTTTGTGTGTCTATTTATAGCGACCATGCTCGAAGGGAAATGTTTCAGGAGATACTCCCAATGGTTGTAATTCAGAGTTAAAACTTGTGATTTTGTTAAAGTACGATATGAATTCATGTAGGGGGTGTTTCGAACGAGTCCTTGCGACTGAAAATACATTATTTTAATTAGTCATTCTATTCAGATCGACAGATCTGGATGCTAGTGAAGAGATCTCATAAAATAATAATTTGAATAAGATATGAATCACATTTTCACAATTAATCAATTGAATTCTACAATAAACTCTACCACAGGTACACTACAGCAATTATATGCGATACGCAATAGGCAGCAAATCAGCTTTTTTAGTCAAGAAATTAACAATAACATAAAAAAGTTATAAGTATTTTATTTTAATCCCTAAACATGTGAATGAGCTCGTAAACCACCTGATGTTAAGTTGTTAACGGAGCGCATAGACTTGTGTTTTTTTTTATTGTAAGAGAAAAGAGGAATCAATTTGCACGCGCTGAGTAGAATAATACTATTTCTATCAACACACTGACTTAAGGTTGTTGATGGGTTAAAATGACCTGAAGTCGCAGGAAACTCTAATAAAAAGCTGTTGTGGAAATTTTAATGGAGACTGGGCGTTAGGTATTATATCCACTTCAAGGCGTAATCCAATGACTTCACCGGCTGCCTAATTCGTTAAGCAATGAAAACTTCAAAACTAAACGCTTCTTCAGCGAAATTTTTTAAAGTAAATTCTTAAATTCTACGACTCCTAACAGCCAATCCTCAATCTACAAGCTAGCTGCTATCATGCGCTTGCAACCACGAGTTGTCGGAGTTACCTATAACCAAAATTCGAACTAAGAACCCGTTTCATATTGTAGTGTCTAAGCATTCCAGTATGTATACAGCCTTATTTAAAGTGCTTCTTCAGCACTACTGCCTTACTGTCTTGTAAGTAAATACACCTTTTACACAATAAACCGGACATCTGCGGTAGGCAGCGGCTTGGCTCTGCCCCTAGCATGGCTGAAGTCCATGGGCGACGGTAACCACTCACCATCAGGTGGGCCGTATGCTCGTCTGACTACAAGGGCAATAAAAAAAAAAGAATGGACGTATTATTTACACTCGTCTAATCCATCGTGACCACACACACCACAATATTAGTATCTATTTATGATGTCCTCAACCCTTTGAAGTACGAGATTTTAATGAAAATAAAAATACTATTGCACAGTCTTGTTATACACGAAAGTTAAGATTCAATTCGATTATTTCAACAATCAGTAAACGGTAAGTCAAGGGTGCGTAGCGTTGTAAACCGAGTGAAAAACTTTAAAAACACCTTAAACTGTACGAATATGAGTGACTTCAACTTTTCTGGGCCACAACAACTTCACAAAGATGGGCTGAAGTATGTCCCACCAAGCATACAGCTAAATGAGGCCGTCAGCGCAAAAGTAGCCTAAGCTTACTATAGTATGGAGGCAATTAGGTTTGAATTTTCATGAATTTAAATTTGAGTAGACAAAAAAAACAATACGCAATACAAAATAATGTTTACAAAGCTATCTGTTATCTATGGGTGAAACTATGGATAGGCCGGTTTTGCATCAAACTTTTTTTATATTTTAAATAAATTCCAATATACATATTTAAGCTTGATATAAAAAATTGTAGGTTAAGTCACTGTTGCGCTGACGGTCTCAAATATAGAATATTTTTAATCCACCCAAACCCCAAAGCGCTATTCTTTTGGGCATGGACCTGAGAGTCAGCGATACTTACAACTCCAAAACAAGTTCCGGCCGTGTATATTCTGGCAGAGCCGTCTCTCGCTTCCGAAGTCTCCTGAACTCGGCCGGTGTGAATGAAATACATCGAATCTGTTATCTCACTCTCTTTCACAACATACATGTCTACAACAAAACGTATTCATTATTTGAATGAGTGGCAATTGCATCCTTGTAGTTGTTGCAAGATTCTATCCAAAATCCGTGCGGGTAGGTACCACCACACTGCCTATTTCTGCCGTGAAGCAGTAATGCGTTTCGGTTTGAAGGGTGGGGCAGCCGTTGTAACTATACTGAGACCTTAGAACTTATATCTCAGGATGGGTGGCGCATTGACCTTGCAGATGTCTATGGGCTCCAGTAACCACTTAACACCAGGTGGGCTGTGAGCTCATCCACCCATCCAAGAAAAAAAATTAGAACCAATGCTCAGTGTAATGGCAAGCTGTAGAAAAGTATACTATAAGTATAATAGTAGTATAATATAAGTGATCAAAATATACTATTTTTCTACATGAAATATTAATGAGGTCCGGCTATGTTACTATAGTTGAGCGCATGAACTGCACTCAATCCTTGAGGTTAATTGCGCATCTCCTTTCCCACTCTGATGGCACAACGCCAGAAAGATACCTCGAAGCGCCAGCAATAGCTGGAAAATTTTAATCGAACTAATTATGCGCAAACGCATCAAATCACGAACGAAGGAAAAATATCTAAATAAATCTCAAACATTAAAGAAACTTTTATGGTTTCTATCAGCTTCGTGGGCATGGAACCATAAAAATATTCGAAACATAGAAAATAATAAGATATAAACAATAAACGCGAAATTAAATCGTAATTAAAATACTGTTAAAAATAAAGTATGCGTTGTATGTTTTTCCTCTACCCGTTTCCAAAGAATTCATTTGATGGTGACCAAAACATAGTACAGTTATTGTGGGCACTTCGGGGCGGACATGTTACTGTCACAGTCAACATACGACGAGCGGCCACAACTCTGACCTTTGGCTGAAGTACACCTTACTGCGCAACACGTATGTGTGCATGGGAGCTCAGAATGCTTACTGTTTGTGTAGACACTAAGATCTTATACATATATACTGTTTAAAATACCTTCGTTGTAAGAGTAAAGCTTAAAGCATCCAACAAGTTGCCTTAGAAAAGCTGCCTCGCAGTTTTCGAATACATGGTGCTGAAAAAGCACATTGAATTAGAAGGACACACTTTCGGTTCATACCATTAGCCCGAAATTGTAGGTACAGGACCATAATACTAGAAGCACACAATAATGTGAATAACTTCCCCAAAAGTCATTTATGTCAGTTTTGTATCGAGACATTGGTGCGCCACAGATGACGATTGTGTTGAAAAAAAATAATAGGCAATCAAACACCAGTAACAATGCAAAAAGTGATCACAATTGACTTGATTTTGTTACGATATTAAATTAAAACGATCAATGGTGGTAGGACCTCTTGTGAGTCCGCGTGGGTAGGTACCACCACCCTGCCTGTATCTGCCGTGAAGCAGTAATGCGTTTCGGTTTGCAGGGCGGGGCAGCGGGTGTACTGTAAAACCGAGGCTTAGAACTGGAGTCTAAAAACGAATGGTGGAGTTTACATTATCGATGTCTCCGGTAACCACTCTTACACCACGTGGGCGGTGAGCACGTCTATCCATCTAGTAAGCAATGAAAAAAGATCATTTCATAGCTAATTTACCCCACCGTAAAGGACAGACCAAGATGTTTGGGCATAGTCTGTGATAAGACGTAGGGAACCTCAGCTTTGAAAGACATCGACGATGCGAAATAGATGAGCAATCAAACATACAATTACATGACGGACTTGACTTTTCTACGCCCTAAGATCAGAACGAATGCTTTCCGACAGAAACAAGCAGGGGTTATTAGCAATTAAAGTAGGTTCACCCAGGGTCGTAGTTACCTCAAATGTCGCCGTGGGTCACCCTGAACCGTCGTGAAAAATACGGTCCCTCTCCTATATCTATCGAATAAATACCCGAAGAGAGAGTAATGCCCACCGCGGTGTTTCATCAGGAGATTAGAAATTCCTTCGTATATTTTTTATTCTTATCTGTCCATTGATAAATGCTCACTTAGGTTGGTACCGCAATAAAAATAGAAATAAAATATACACATATATATAAAGATACCCTAGTCAGATGGTTCAAGTAGGCAGCCGACATGATCTCGAGCCGCAGTCCGTGGGGCGCCGTCTCCAGAAAGTGCGGCTGCTGGAGGCCCCGGGACTCCCGCCACAAGTGCAGGCAGTACTTGTTCACGATCGCTACCAAGTTTTTGGACACGCGGTTGTTGTGCAAAAATTCCTGAAAAACGATTTTAGGTGAGCATCAATGAACCTTAATGGGCTGGACATACGTGTCGCAGAAGCGATGACCGATGGAGCAGACGTGTTCTGGACTGGAGACCGCGTACCGGTAAGCGCAGCGTTGGGCGTCCCCTTGCCCGTTGGACCGATGACTTGCGGCGATATGCTGGGAGAGATTGGATGCGGAAGGCGGAGGATCGTTGTGGAGGACTATGGGAGAGGCCTACATCCAGCAGCAGACGCAGGCTGATGATGATGATCATCATCAATGAACCTTCCCAAGGACAACTTCTGTGATCCAAAAACTATTGTCGTGCCTCCCAATATTGTACTTTAAAATGTTTACAAGTAACAAAACGTAAATTGAGAGTAGAATGTTTCCCTATTCGCTGGTAGCCTAAGAGGCTGCGTCCATTTGTAATCAAATGAACAGTAACTTGTAGACAGATGAGAAAAACTTGTATCGATCATACTTGATTACTTCAATCACGTTTCGTTCGATATCCAGTCGAAGTCTGTTTCCTTTATCAAGATATTTGATGTTTGGAGTCTGGGCTCAATATGTTCTTCCCTCGATGTGTGCATCCGTTGAATTTGTAACGTATGTCATACTTTTGTCTACCTAATAAATACTATTGTCCAATTAGAATCCAAACCCTGGACATTGCTGGACAAATTTCTCGTTACGAACAAAGGCGTGTTGTACGACTGGTCAAGTAGGTCCATTCGGAGAATCAGTCAGGACGTGAGCACCGCTGTGCTTTTGTACATTACTTATTCTTTTTCTACCTATTCGCTGGTAGCCTAAGAGGCTATTTCAACTACGCCCCGACGGGTAGGTGAGCTCACGGGCTCAACCTGAGAGAATTTGCTAACACTAGCCCTACAAGAGCAGTGCCTCGCAGAATCTACCATCGGATCGGAATCGCTACTCACTGGGAAGATCCGGCGAGAAACTCAGTCGGCTGAGTCTATGGGTTAGAAAGTAGAATGTATAGTTTTAATCTATTAACAAAGTGTTTCAACGTGATATAGATCGTACGCGCTCCAGTAGCTTTCTTCAGTCAGCTTAACCGTATGTTCTATGGGGAGTACTCTGAGGAATTCTTTGAGATGATACCATCATCTAGTTTTTACCATCGCACCGCCCGCCACCGGAGTAGAGTTCATCCATATTACCTGGAGTCACTGCGTTCATCCACAGTGCGTTGCCAGAGATATTTTTTGCCACGTACCATCCGGCTATGGAATGAGCTCCCCTCCACGATGTTTCCCGAGCGCTATGACATGTCCTTCTTCAAACTAGGCTTGTGGAGAGTACTTAACGGTAGGCAGCGGCTTGGCTCTGCCCCTAGCATTATACGAGCGACGGTAATCACTCACCATCAGGTGGGCCGTATGCTCGTCTGCTATACGATACGGCAATAAAAAGAAAAGTCCACGTATTAGCGTGTCGTCACTAGATAATATCAAATAGTCACTCACTTGTAATTGAAGATAAGTGGAATAGAAAGTAAAGGATCTAAACGATAGGTACTGAATGATGTTTGAGAACTCTCCAACGTACACCATGTAGAGCATAGTCGATACTATTTGCAGTATGGACACGAATATGACCTGCAATTGTGCTGAGCTTTACAATTTTATCCACATTTTACGTGCTCGGTAATCAATGCAGTTTACTTTTATATTTACTGTGTAGATTCGTGAACGTGCTAACAGCGCACCTGGTGTTAAGTGGTGAGCGGGGCCCATGGACATAACAATGTTAATCTTTAAAACTATTCAGCTAATGATAAATTTTACATTCTGTATAACTATTTCACGAAAATTCCAGTGACTTCGGCACGACCTACCTCCGAATGCTTCTTGGGCATAATATCTCCCACGCCGTTTTGTGTAAACGTTGTCAATATGAAATACAACGAACATATGTACATATTGTGGCACATACTATCGCCGTTATCTGAAATAAACTTACAGAAATATATATTTCATTACATCTCGTTTGAGTTCAAAGCTGTCTCAAGGCGAACGTCGCCTTCTTGAGACGTGTGATAGAATCTTAATTAAAAGGTCAAATTCCAGACGGACCATACCGACATAGCGACTGAACACATTTACTTATAAACAAATTTGGGTTTTCATTTTGACCATCAATAATTCCTTCATCGTAGTAGAATTAGCAATGAAAATTATAGAGTTCGATGGCTTTTATAAAAGAGAATGGAAGAGGAAAATTAGCAGTGCCGACCCCACCTAGTGGGATAAGGTGGAGAAAAAGAAGAAGATGGCTTTTACAAACGTTTGCGTTTTACGGAAACCAACTGTTCGTCAAATACGTGAACTGTAAAGGCTTCTTGTGAATACTTCTCGTCGATACGGGGAGGAACCGCCGCCCGGCTTCTTTCCGCCGCGAAGCAGTCATGCGTTCCGACTTGATTGGTGAGAGGAGAATACAACTGGGACCTCGGTGTGCTCCAGTGAGAGCTCAACGGAAGGTGGGTCGTGAGCTCGTTCACTAGTCGAAGCCCCGGAACATATTATATAAACGCCGACATTGACGATCACATCCAGAAGCTCATTGAGTTAATCACTGGATCTTCTCAGTGGGTCGCGTTTCCGATCCGGTGGTAGATTCTGCGAAGCACTGCTCTTGCTAGGGCCAGTGTTAGCAACACTCCGGTTTGAGCCCCGTGAGCTCACCCACACGCTAGTGTAAAGCTGATATAGCCTCTCAAGGCTATAAGGCATAGGTAGGAAAAAAAATCACATTCAGCCTATGCCGCGTGGGAAACGAGCCACTGTGGTTTTAGGTATGATAATATACCTAAAGTATTGATTATGTGTTGTTGTGGACAGAGGGTAGTAGCCGTCAGAGCATCCAAAGATCCCAACGCACGTGTCTCCACCATTGTCAGGCACGAGCGGACATAAGGATGACTGCACTACCCCGCCAGCCGCTGCGCACGACGGCAAGGCGGTCAAATCAGAGGCGGATTATCCGCAAGCCAAACTAGGCACGTGCTTAGGGGCGTGTAGTACAAGGGGCGCGTAAGCTCAGAGTTTTTAAATAAATAAAGAAAATAACATATCGACCATTAAGAACTAAATGCTGATCTATAATCTAAATCTATAATAGATTATTCCTATTTGGCCTATTTCCCAGAGCAGAGAGGAATCATGAATTTCAATGTTCGTTCTGTCGTCCCTCTTCATTTCTTCACAGTTATAACGTCATATTTCATTCGCGCATTAGCGTAAGTACTAAAGTCTACTAAAGTCTACTAAAGTCTAAAGTCTAAGGTTTGATGATACAACGTCATCGTAATTGCAAAAACAACTAGTTAAAATTTATAGTATTATGATGGCATTTATGGCCGGTACAGGGGCGCCGATAAAGTGATTGCCTAGGGCGCTCTGGACCTTTAACCCGCCACTGGGTCAAATGCTTGGTGTTACCTAGACACGCGGCTTATATTGCGGGTCAAGTACTCGTGTCGCTTACCGGCGTGAAGCCACGAGGTCCCCGGCTCGTGGCTGTCCTCCATGACCGCTATGAAGTACCAGAGGCAGGTGGTCGCGTGCACGAACAGAGTGAACCAGATGAATACCGAGTTGATGGTGCTGAGGATCAGGTTGCTGGTTATCCGCTCTCTGAGCCTCAACAGGCATCTGTAGACTGTTACCTGACGACGGACAGATAAGGGAGTGACCGGGGCTTTGTTCAGGTGCTCATGAAGGGGCAACTTTCGGTGGGTGTCGAGGGGTGTAGCCAGACAGTCTTTATAATAAAAATTAATTATTATTATCTGATAGTTTTCAACGTTTTTCTAAGTCATCGTGGTCTAAAGGATACGACGTCCGGTGCATTCGTGTTGAGCGATGTAACTATTTAACACCAGGTGGGGTGTGAGCTCGACCACCCATCTAAGCAATAAAAAAAAACACACACATGTAAACGACTTACAATCCTGAGCGTCCTGTTCATTCGCAGCAAGGAGAACATGCACCACCGGTTGTCGGTGGCCAGTAAACTGAACAACTCGAACGGAATGCACGATATCAAATCGTATTTGAATTCGCCTTTGAAGTATCTAAAACAGAACAACTCGTTATGATATACTCTAAGTCTACGGACACGAAACTTGCGATGGCCGAGCGATGGCGACAGCGGCGCGACGGCGATGTATACAAAAGCATTGCACAGTATGGGGACGGGCACGAAACGGGCGATGGCGGAGCGGGGCGATCGAGCGATGTACGGGCGATGATGGGGCGACGGCGACGCGGAAGCGACGAGAACAAACTAGTTTGGTTTCGTCGCTTGCGCGGGTACACAGTGTNAAAGCATTGCACAGTATGGGGACGGGCACGAAACGGGCGATGGCGGAGCGGGGCGATCGAGCGATGTACGGGCGATGATGGGGCGACGGCGACGCGGAAGCGACGAGAACAAACTAGTTTGGTTTCGTCGCTTGCGCGGGTACACAGTGTTGTGTTGAATTATTATTTTAGTAATGGAAATTGATAATGAGGAATTTATAATTTAACAAAGAATTTAAAATTTCATTAAATGACACCTTAGCTGGTAATAAAGCGTAGAAATTTATCCCCAATTGCGTCTTCGTTGATTTATTTGATGAACACCATCTCTAAGTAATAATAATTCCCTCATTAGGGGACTAGGCTCCAATAGTTCTTTTCGACGTAAAGTCATGATTCGCACAACAAACACTGTATGAGCGCGACTGCCCGCCAGCTTGTTTCGTGCCCGCGCGAGATATCGCTACCTGCCCGCCCCGTGTCGCGTCGCCTCGCTGCCGCCATCGCTCAGCCATCGCAAGTTTCGTACCCGTAGACTAACGGTATATACGGAATATATAGGGTGTTCCAAAAGTTTCATTTCAATATTTAAGAATATTTTTAAACTAATAATACCTATTTAATTAGATAATGTAAAACAATATCGGTCAAATTGGCTAAGCTTGTGAAACAATTTTCTTTTTATACAATCTTCCAATACCAATTGGCAAATTTGTGGGTGTAAGTTCTCGATAAGTTCCCGAATTAATCTTCTAGAATCGATTGTGAGCTATTGGTATAGACTTAGTTATTATTATTATTTCAAGTTATTATGTCAAATAAAAAAGTCTAAAGGTGTCAAATCACCGTCACATCAAAACCGATAACTGTTTGCTAAGAATCAAACTGTTTTTAAAAATAAATCATAAATTGTAACAACCCATTTTAATTGAAACTACCAATCTATTTTGCATCGGTAGGACAAGATAATTGATATTTCGATGCAGCTAAAATTTTGATTTCAGGGCGGCAACATTCTAGTCAACATTCTTGTACTACACATTTTTCCGGTTGCCTAAGAGGCTATTTCAGCTACGCCCGGACGGATAGATGAGCTCAAGGGGTCAACCTGAGAGAATTTGCTAACACTAGCCCTAGCAAGAGCAGTGCTTCGCTGAATCTACCACCGGATCGAAATCGCGACCCACTGAGAAGATCCGGCGAGAAACTCAGTGGGCTGTGTCTGTGGGCTAATTCGCTCGTCGAAGTCTTCGTCGTGATCGACGAGTTCGTCGAGGACGATACCGGGTGCTTGAGAGGCCTAAAAGCGCCGAGGCGTCGATGTTAATAATTTGAAAGGTTAAGGCACAGTGTCTTATGAACTATAGTAGAATTATTTTGTCGCTGCAGTTTGGGTCATAACCCTTCGTATACTACCCCGCCGCCGTGTCTACCTGCCTTCGATGACTCATTTGTTTTTATCGATAATGGCGTTGCGCCCGCGCAACATGCTCACCGCCCTAGCCGGGCTATGTTTTATGACCCAAACTGCAGCGACAAAATAATTCTACTATAGTTAGCTAAAGTAATAAAATAAGATTCCGGCAACTAACTTCGTGCGCATCGGAAGCAAAACATTCTTAGAATGGTCCGTTTCCACAACAATTTGAGGCAATATGTATTGCATCAGGATCTTTACGTAGAACCCCATGTCCAATGCGTATAAACTAAGAATCAGCCATGTTCTGTTGTCTTGAAAACCGGCATTGTACAAATCCCCGTAGACGCATATCAGCGATATTGCTATCAAATATATCTGCACTAGTTTGTCTTTGTAATACAAATATTTGATTAATCCTTTCCTCTTTCGAAAGAGAATGGGAGAGCTCATACTCCTTTCCTTTCTGATTTTGAAGGCGTCACCCACGTTGCCTAGTATATAGCACTGTGAACAGGGTATGGAATTAATGAATTATTGTTTCTTGGATGTTTTCTAGATACAAAACTACTCTCAGATGCTGTATGACAGTTTTATAGTTTAGACATAATTAAATCGTCTTCTCGCATTAAAACTGTATAATCTCAAAGCTTCTAATTTTACAGGAGAGTGTTTTAAAGGTTTAACATGTAATATTTTTAATATTAATCATATTTGCAATATAATGTTTTTTTACCAGTTACATCAAGTCTTTTAAAGTAAGTTAAAATTATGTATTAATTTTGTTAATAGTAGCCAAATCATAGGTAAAGTAAAAAAAATGCTAAATCTAAACTACGCTCTTTTGACAGTATTTATGAGAAAAATACTGGGGATACCAAATGTTTACGCATATTAACTCAATTTCGAATATTTTTGGAAATTGCTCACTTTTAATGCGAAAAAGCGAAATATTAGTCGAATCCACTTCGACTTCTAAGCGACAAGTGGCGGCTGATGTTTGAGGGCGCCAGACACGGCTCTAGCACTTATGCGGTCATCTATCAACAAAGGCAATAAACACATTCAGTCTCTCACATACCTTAGTGTCTTCCGATCGACACTCTTTCATTAGCTGAACCACGGCAGGAAAGTCTTTAATGATTTGATGGAACAATTTCGAGTTAATCATCAGCAGATGAGCTTTGGACGTTGACATAAACGTTACTGGGCATCTTATGTTCGGAGCGCCTTCGAGATTACCGAATACGCTGTTTAAATGGATATTACGAAGGAAACAATTAATACAAGTCGTCGTTTGAAGTCGTCGTGGCCTAAAGGATAAGACGTTGGGTGCATTCGTATGTAGCGATGCACCGGTGTTCGAATCCCGCAGGCGGGTACCAATTTTTCTAATGAAATACGTACTCAACAAATGTTCACGATTGACTTCCACGGTGAAGGAATAACATCGTGTAATAAAAATCAAACCCGCAAAAATTATAATTTGCGTAATCACTGGTGGTAGCACCTCTTGGGAGTCCGCACGGGTATGTACCACCACCCCGCCTATTTCTGCCGTGAAGCAGTAATGCGTTTCGGTTCGAAGGGTGGGGGTAGCCGTTGTAACATACTGAGACCTTAGAACTTATATTTCGAGGTGGGTGGCGCATTTACGTTGTAGATGTCTATAGGTGGGCTGTGAGCTCGTCCATCCATCAATGCAATAAAAAAAAATACAACATCAAAGCTTTACAGAAAATTAAGAGAATTATCAAACACGTACTTTTCCGCCTTCATTACTTTAGAATCCCAAGCGGCATTGAGCCTTTCACATTAGAAAATTCAAAAACAAATAATATATAGGTATGTGATTTTGTCTAGGTATGTCATTTTAATTTAATAATTACATTACGCATGATCTAGAACCTGAATCAAAAAGTAAAAGAGTCATTCACTATTCGCTACCCGTAATTACAGAATTTACCTTCCTTTCGGCAAATTGACGACATTACTCATGGACCCTCTGATTTCCATCATGTCCACATCTCCGTAGTCCAGGATGTACATATCGGCAATCACGTCGTTGGCCTCGATGATCCTCGTGCCTCTCAGGAAGTGCACGCTGCGGACTGCCCGCCCCATGATCCGCAGGAGGGACAGGTCGCAGTGGGACAGAATCCGACACTGGAGTGAGTCTTTCAATTGATTTTTACCCGTTTATGGTTTGAACTGGTGGTACGACCTTTTGTGAGTCCGCGCGGGAAGGAACTACCACCCTGCCTATTTCTGCCGTGAAGCAGTAATGCGTTTCGGTTTGAAGGGTGGGGCAGCCGTTGTAGCTATACCTTACCTACCTTAGAACTTATATCTCAAGGTGGGTGGCGCATTTGCGTTTTAGATGTCCATGGGCTCCAGTAACCACTTAACACCAGGTTGGCTGTGAGCTCGTCCACCCATCTAAGCAATAAAAAAAAAGCTGCCGCGGTAAAGCTATTGCATAGCATTTTTTATCAACTTATGCAATTATAATTAGACAATGATAACTTAATATTAAAACAATAATAAAACAAGACCACGCTATATTAAACATTAATAAAAGCAAAACCTTAACTGTCCCTTTCACACTCATAAGCTACACCGCGCGAGAGAGAGTTGGGCAGACTTTTCATGATGCGCATGCAGTGTGACGTGACGCCACGCGCTTATTCACAAACACTACACAAGTGCAACGTGTGAATGTGGTGAACTACATGGTAGGCGGAGTGAGGGGTGTAAGGTTTTTTTCGTTACGGAATTTCATGATTACAGTAAGCCGCGATCAAGGCCCGCGATAAAAGCTATGCAATAGCTTAAACATGAAAGTAGGTTCTAATTTGACCAGGGATCGTTTGTAGCTGCTCCCTTATACATAATATTAAAACTACCGTCTTATTTTGGCAAATATTCAACACCATTCATCGCTTCTCAGTATGTTTACAACGTGGATGCAGTAATCTAATCACACTATTAGCCTTATTCATAGATAAGTTTTAGTTTTGAGTATGAGCCAAACGATTTCCTTACAAAATGGTAAAATAACTAACGGACAAACCTAAAGGTTCGAAAGGTAGAAAAATCCCACGACCAGCGCACGCTGAGATCAATAATGGAACGTTTCCTAAAATTTTTAAAGTTACTGAAGCTCTCAAAATATATTACCAAATATTAGAAGCGGGTACCTTAGCAAAGGGGGGCCCAAAAATGTGTAAAGTGGCATCGGTGCGTAGCGTGATCTGATCGCACAGTTTCAGCAAACTCATATAATCGATCCCCCTCATCTTATCCCAATTGTATTCGTAATAGTCCAACACTTCTCTAAAACATTTATAATAATAACTAGCTGTAGGTACCCGTTCGCTGGGCATTTAAAACTAACATTATTATATCTCACCCCCACAAAGACTCTCATCATTAACACCCCCGCAACTGGTGTAGGGAGTCCAACACTCATATAAATATTAGCCTATCCATTAAGTACATGTATTTTCTACATGGATACCAAGTTTCAAATCAATCGGATGCACGGTTCAGTAGTTATAATGGATGATTCGTAAAAACCTCTGTAGATTTATATATTAAGTATAGATTTGCCATCTATCTTCTTACATTAATATAAAGTAAGCCCGAAAAATCAGATGTGCCTTTTTAAATCGTTTCTGAACTATCTCTTACTTCGTTAATGCCAGATCCAATTTCTCGCGTCTCATGTAGACGACCATGTCCCTCATGTGCTCCTGGAATGAGGCCAGCGCCTGGTTCACGTTCGCTCGCACGCTTATAATGCGTACGGAGAAATACGTAGTTATCATCGCACCTGCGTTGTAAATGGTCTTTTATCTCGTCGGCCGTGATTGACAGTGTCAATGAGCTCGTCAGACTCGGGTACGCATTTCGGTGAATATAAATGCAACAAAAACCTTAATCGTAATCGTGATCTGTATATATGAATAATCGCTAATGTTTATATGTTTGTTCCATGCGCGTTCCGAGCCGGTCCACCCGACGGTGACGCAAGTCGGTACAGTGGTAGTCGACTCCCTGAGGAGGGGCACGGTAGGGGGCGCGCAGTAGCCTCAACAACTTTACACAATTAGCAATAGTCTAGAGTTGAACCAAAGCTATGTAAGAATCTTTTGGTCGATTATAGTGCTACGCCATCTATCACCGAGTAGTCGAACGAATATCGAAGGATAGCACTTAGAACACTCGAGAAGTACAACGCCATCTATTGTCAATAGCGGAAACACAATACTAGAGATGTGTGGAATATTCTCGATAATTCTATGAATGTGGTATCGGCTATAAAAGCGTTACAGAGATGGCACGCAATCAGTTAGTAATCGGAACTACTCGAAGCGGAAGGAGCGGATTGAGAATTTTAAAGTGTTTTTGGAGTATTTTAAGTGTTCTAAGTGTTGAATACAGTTTTTAGTTTATATTTCGGTGGAATTTTATTTACCCCGAACCCGAGCGCGTAACAATAGTTTTGTATTGCAAGGCGCACGGGTGTGAATCGCCTTCTTGCCTATTTCTGTAGCGAAGCATTCACATGTCCCGGCCTGATAAGATAGACAGTTTTATACAAAACAGGTGATCCTCTACTTCAAGTATTTAGGAGGGAAGCATTCCGGTTATGGGCTAAAGAGGCGTTCGCAAGCTTGTTCGGTCTTGTACGCTATAAGTACTAACAAAACACCATCCCGATGAACAGCACCCACATCAGTTCCAAGTTGCTTGGATGTAATGAGTTGTACCCGGTGCTGGTGGCCTCGTACACGACCCAGAAGTAGCAGGAGAGATGTATGTTCCAAGGAGTCGCAGTCATATTGTAACGAACTATGAAGATAAAAACGTTCATCTGTTAAAGTAACTAAGTCGTCGTGGCCTAAAGGATAAGACGTCCGGTGCATTCGTGTTGAGCGCGATGCACCGGTGTCCGAATCCCAGGCGGGTACCAATTTTTCTAATGAAATACGCACTCCACAAATATTCACGATTGACTTTCACGGTGATGGAATAACATCGTGTAATAAAAAACGAAAACCCGCAAAATTATAATTTGCGAAATTGTTGGAGGTTGGACCTCTTTTGAGTTCGCGCGGGTAGGTACCACCACCCTGCCTATTCTGCCGTGAAGCAGTAATACGTTTCGGTTTGAAGGGCGGGGCAGTCGTTGTGACTATACTGAGACCTTAGAACTGATATCTCAAGATGGGTGGCGCATTTACGTCGTAGATGTCTATGAGCTTCAGTAACCACTTAACACCAGGTGGGCTGTGCGCTCTTCCAACCATCTAAGCAATAAAAAAAAAGTCCTTAAGCACTTTAGGCACGAAGCACACAACGCTCACATGCATTCTCGAATAGATGCAGCCAAGAGCCGCCGCGGTCCCGGGTCGGCACTATCAGCCAGCCCTTCTCTCCCAACGAGTAGTAAACGTCCACAGAGTAGAAAACCATCAGACACGTGAGAACGTTTAATGTCGCCAAGAATATCGGCGTGGCCTTCAACCTGTAACGACATGCTCTCTTTGACTGCAACCGATTATCCCTAAATTTTTCTTTTTATTTTATTTTTATTGCTTAGGCGTGTGGACGAGCTCACAGCCCACCTTGTGTTTAGTGGTTACTGGAGCCCATAGACATCTACAAAATAAATGCCCCACCCACCTTGAGATATAAGTTCTAAGGTCTTAATTACAGTTACAACGGCTGCCCCACCCTTAAAACCAAGATGCATTTACTGCTTCACGGCAGAAATAGGCAGAGTGGTGGTACCTACCTGTGTGCACCCACAAGAGGTCCTACCACCAGTAAAAAATATAACCAGGCAACGTTGACTTCATAAGTTTGCGTTATAGTCAGCTGATTTATATATCCGATACACAAAAGCTCTCGACTTCAGGCAAATCATGACAACGTACACGATCATAATATCTCTGCGTTCGATGTATTTCTTGAGCAGGACCATGGCGCTGGGGATGCGGTACAACTGAATTAAACGATTGAGCATCAAGATCTGAGTCATGTGCGTCACGCGGTACATGTCGCCTGAAAATAAAATTAGGTTTTCAAACAAAATGACCTAGCCTTAAGGCATTGCATTCATATCGATGAGAACACAAGCCCCCGTGACTATAGGGGGTGGTCACCGATGCGGTTGTGTGTGTATGCTAGCGATAGAATGTATTCCTCACACCTACATTAGGTCCCTATCCACTGTTACATATCTTTATTTAAGCGAGATGTTAAAAACAGTACTCTATAATAATTAATTATAATAATAACTGGGAACAAATCACCCACGGCCATTCGGCCCCAAATTATGATTCCCTGTGTTATGGGTACCCCGCACTGATAATTCAACCCACTGAGTTTCTCGCCCGATCTTCTCAGTGGTTCGGGATTTCAATCCGGTTGTAGATTCTGCGAAGCACTGCTCTTGCTCGGGCTGGTATTAGCAAATTCTCTCAGGTTAAGCCCGTGAGCTCTCACCCACCCGTCCTGGCGTAATAGCCTCCTAGGCCACCAGCAAATAGGTAGGGAAAAGAATATATATTATGTCGGGGTTCAAATTACTTTGGTTCCCAGTACGGGACAGCCGTTTTATTGAGTCTTCGGCCTCGTTTCTGCATACCGCATACAAGTTGTAACAGTTTTAATTCTAGTAACCATTTAATACTAGGAGTGCTTTAAGCTCATTTAACATAAAATGCTTTAGTCCATAGACAATTAGGGAAATACGTATGTATGGAAAAGACACAGCCCGCGTTGTTTGTTAAGGCAGATCTCCTTAAAGTGAAATACACAGCAAAAAAATTCCTACAGTACTTTCGAGTATCCTATATGAACCATTGCATAAAGCCCACTTATGGCCGCAACAAATCACTCGTAGAACGATTTTATTTAAGGAAAATTTAAATGAAATTGGAGCAGTGTGGAAAAGCTCTGTTCGAATGAGTAAAGGCTAGCTTTTTTTTAAATTCGGTATGTGTTGCAAACAACTTGCGAATTGTGTATTGTGTGCATTGCATTGCAGTGCTCATTGCATCTTCAAAAAACGTACGACGTGCTCATATAATATAATTATGTACCTCCAAATAATGATTAAGCAAAAATAACCTTTTTTTATTGGTTTAGTTTAACACGAAATATGTTACTAAGATTTATTGTTACAAAGGGAGACTACAAGTTTTGTATACTTAGTTTAGTAAATTAACATAGCTTTCAGTTTGGTTAAGGCTAATAATTGACCCTGTTCAGTTACGGGGACCAGATCCTATGGCGTCCCGTATGTCAGCAACTAACCGAAAGACTCCTTGGTGCTCGACTCCAAATTTTCGAGTTGGAGACAAGCAATGACGTCCACGATGAAGGCTCCTTTCAAATAATGAGCCGCAGTACTGGCCGGGTGGTAGACCAGGACGCCGTGCTCGTTGAAATAACCCACTAGCATCCGTTGAAGACTTTGCGGGAGAAATTCGAAGGTTAAATATTGGCAAGTCTTACAGATGCTATCCTATTTGTTGATTGCCCGTTGTCTCATGGATGGCCGGGGTACGTATATGGATCACACTACATCGGGGTCACATTACACGGCTACTACCAAAACCAACACGTGTTTAACACGTGTTCACGATCGACTTCCACGACCAATGAATACCAACGTGTAATAAGAATAGAACTCGAAAATTGTATAAATTCGCATAATTACTTGTAGGGTTTGTAGGTTGGACATGTTATACAATGCTAATGATATTTCGACCTCATGATGAAGTGGGAGTGTGGTTAAAGTTGTGATCTCCATGGGTCATGGTACCGATTTAAGAGCTTAATCTCATTCGTTCATCAAAGCAAGTTAAGTGAGTACTATTTGGTACTTCAAGTTCAATTATTTTATAAGCGGTAAGACAGCGGAAAGGTCTCTAATGAAATTTGTTTAGCATCAACATCATCAGTCCACAGTTTCTAGTTACGTTTGCCTGTGCGCCGTCTCCGCTCTAAGACCCGTCTTGAGGAACGTTGGTTCCTTGGAAAATATGTCCAGCCCACTGCCACTTCAACTTGTCGACTCTCTGTTTAATAGTAAGGTACCACAAAAAAACTGGAAACATAACACGATAATTTCATATTTGTACAACATTACTATTTAAAAGAACCTCTCGGATAACTCTGTATTTCTATCATTTCATCGAATTGCGTTTTCCGGTCATCCTTGTGACGAAGGGCTCGTAAATTGCGAGTAAATTAATCCACAGACACAGCCCACTGAGTTTCATGCCGTAACTTCTCAGTGGGTCGCGTTTCCGATCCGGTGTTAGATTTTTTTATTCCTTATATGGGTGGACGAGCTCACAGCCCAGCCCAGGATTCGGGGAATAGTCAGCGGCTGCAACGATAAAGCGATTATCATGACGCATAGCCTTATCGAAGTATCTTTCCGACGCTGACTTCATATGTTTCCGGATTGATTCGAGGCCCAGGTCGAGTGATAAACTGTAAGACATTAGACAATAAGCATAAGACGTACACATCAAAATAAGCAGTCGCGTCTAGTATGACGGACACGTGGTACAGACTGGGCCACTGCAGCACCAGGTACGTGTAGTTGGGGAACACCATGGAGGAGGCGAGCGCGCACAGGGCGCGGACGCACTCGTACACCGTCAGGTAGCGACCGTCCGGCCGGATCGTGAACCGAGGAAATATGTATCTGCCGATCAATTGTTCTGTCATTGTCAAAACTGCATTTTGTTGACGCTTGGTAATAGTCCAGCGGCTGTTGTCTCTGTGGCGTTTCTCTAGTATATCATCCCACAATCCATATTATCCTAACGTCACGACCTGCGTATACTGGATATCAGGCGAACTGCAAGTACCAACCTACTAGTTCCTGTGAAGCATTTCGGTTTGAAGGGTGAAATAGCTTTAGTACTTTTACGGAAAAAGTGTCAGCCACTGAAAATCAAGTATCAAGAAAAGTTGCTAGTGTAAAAAAAAACATAATTTAATGTAATGTAAATGTAAGCAAGTCATGCATTATATCTATTGTAAGGCTGAGGATCTACAAACAGCTGGGTGGGGTTTTCAAACATACTTCCTTTAACTGTATAATTTAATTATTGTATCAATATCGCTCAAGCCTTTGTCATGCTACAGACAAGTACTCCCTTTTAGCAGCTCTTTTTAGCGTCCAAAATGAAACTTCTCACCTTAGTACCGATAAAAAGCCAAGCCTATCGAAGGGCTGCAAGAATGCCGTGTCCGGCAGGTGCTTCCTCGGCAGGAGGAACCTTTCCATGTTGGGGATCGGATCGGGCGGTGAGTACGATAGGAAGGGTTCGCGATGCCGGAGAAGGCGATGGTATTCCTGATTGATAACAAAAAGAGGTGAACGAGTAGATATGGTAGACAAGGTTGAAAATAAAATTTTTAAATTCATCTTTTAATCGGCAATGTTCGGCGAAATAGTTCATTGCGTTTTCCCCTCTGTATGTCAAAAGGTTTTTTTTCTTTCCATTGCTTAGTAACAATTGACAAGCCCTAATGTACCAAAGTGACAATGTAGTCAAATTTCGAACACTGAACAAACATTAGTATAAATATGCATAATGACTAATGTCTCGTGTTTCTCCGAGATAGAAAGGAGCATACTACTTAATTCTGCAATCGCAGACCAGTTCCGGTACAAGTTTCCTATTGAAAATTCGTCATAATAGTAACGTAAGTTCTACAATCGTAACACTCACGGGCGTTCTTATGGCATATTCTATAGCATCTTTGACTTTGGGCATCTCCAGTGTCCGCAGCAGCTGTTTTCTCGCCACAGAAAACATTTGAACGTGTGTTACCGCCTTCACTGTGTAAAACGCTGGCAAGTCTAAATTAATAGATAAACAGATTCATAATCAAAATTACTTTAACGGCTTAATCTAGCATTTATATTAACGACCCAAGAAAACCAAATATATTCAATTCATGGACGTCCATGTTCGTAAGGTGCATGATCTAAGTTTGTTTATTTAAATTATTTAAAAAATTATAATTAATATTTAAATTATTAATGCTAACTAATAACCATCGAAATTTTTATTCTAGTTAGGCATACCAGCGGTCTAGTTAGTGGTCCATAGATACCACGATAGGAATGTGGTCTTGAGACGATCTGAAAGTCTCACCGGGATTTCAATTCTATTCCAACTAATTTTATAAATGCGAAAGCTAATAAGGATGGATGAATGTTTGTTACATTTGTGTAAAAGTTCCAGCCGGATCTTGTTGAAACTGTACACTTTAAGACCTTACAAATCATAATAGTTATTACAAATCCTATTATACAATACGAACAACGTATTACAGTTGGCGCAGGTGTTGAGGTAAGAAAATGTAGTATTTTATAGAATTAACCACTACTACATGGGAGCGTGATCTGGCCTAGTCTAGCCTGCGAGTATCCTCTGCTTCATCGGGATCGCACGAATGCTTCGCGGCCGATATAGATACGATGGTGATACCAACCTGGTACTGGCTCACGATCACAACAGTGATGTTTCATAAAAATGGGGGCGAACAGTTCGCAATAATCAAATTCTTAGCTAGCATTCATCACCAATGGTCGTTGAGGTTCAGATGCTTTGAGTGAGTGAAAGAGCTTATTCTGGGTAGACCTCTCATATGGTGGACCGACTTCTCAGAGGGGGTCGTGGGAATACGCTGGATGTAGCTAGCGCTATGACAGTCATGTTGGATGCAGGGGGTAGGCCATGTCTGTTACCTGTACGGTAATAATGACTAATTGTTAGCTCTGTTACTAGGTTGGTAGGTGCGAGCCCGCCCAGTGCGGCATGATCTGCCGCGACGCCGCGTGCGCCGGTACGGCGGAACTTACTGCCTTCGGTGCTGTCCATTAACTGTTGTTTCATTAATTCCCTTTGTTATGTATCTCATAAAAGCCTTGAAAGAGCATTAAAAGAATAATGACGTACGTAAAATGCAGGTGAGCACACCAAAATGACTTTTCGGTCCTATCGCCTTGACGACGCGCTTCGTGATCGGACAATACACCTAGACAAAACAAATATAATTGTATCTGTCTGTTGCCATCTTTATTTTACATTTTCTTAAGTAACAACTATACTTTTTTGTGAAGTGTTGATAAATTTCTTTCAACTGTAACATTCGGAAATTATGATTCTTCTTGGGAACAACAGTAACTGCTTCATGTCACCATACTCTTACCGCAATTGACGTGTATTTTTTTTATTGCTTAGATAGTTGGACGAGCTCACAGCCCACCTGGTGGTTAAGTGGTCACTGGAGCCCATAGACATCTACAACGTAAATGCGCCACCCATCTTGAGATATGAGTTCTAAGGTCTCAGTATAGTTACAACGGCTGCCCCACCCTTCAAACCGAAAGGCATTACTGGTTCACGGCAGAAATAGGCGGGGCGGTGGTACCTACCCGCGCGGACTTACAAGAGGTCCTACCACCACTAATTACGCAAATTATAATTTTGCGTGTTTGATTTTTATTACACGATGTTATTCCTTCACCGTGGAAGTCAATCGTGAACATTTGTGGAGTACGTGTTTCATTAGAAAAATTGGTACCCGCCTGCGGGATTCGAACACCGGTGCATCGCTCACCACGAATGAACCGGACGTCTTATCCTTTAGGCCACGACGATTTCAAAATAGTATACTTTATGTATAAAACATTCCTATTAGTAAATAGATCGTAACCGTTATTTAAGAATATATTATATAAAAATTAATTGCTGTTCGTTAGTCTCGCTAAAACTCGAGAACGGCTGGAACGATTTGGCTAATTTTGGTCTTCAGTTATTTGTGAAAGTCTAGATAAATATGAAAATGCTCGGAATTAAATAAAAATAACAATTTTGTTTTTCCTTTGATGTGTCCCCCGTCGGACGGATTCCTTTTGTTTGTTTTAAGTTTATTTTATACAAAAGTTTAGGTCTTTTATTTATCGATTGAGGCACTACGAAGTCTGCCGGGTCAGCTAGTTTAAGAACAGTTCCCGCACCTCACAGATCCCTTGCTTAATGACGTACATTTCATTTGTAATGTCTCCGGTGTTCAGTAGGATCTCGTTTGGAGACGTGTAAAAGAGTTTGGCCTTTGATGACAGATCACATAGATCTTCCCCGTGGATAAACTGAAAACATTTTAAGATCATCTTATATAATGTATTCTAACTTCTCAAAATTATTAAAAGAAAAATAACTAAGTAGCAAATATATCGATAACAGGTAATAAGTAATAGTTATTAATTATATAAATTAATATTAATTAGTTACCTTACAGTTAATAATATTACGTTACATTGTGTATGTATATACATGTATGAGTATGTATATATATTTTAATTGATTGGTACACCGCGTGTAATTAGTTTCTACTTTTTTTGTTTTTTAATGTTTCGCATTGTTTCTTTTGTTGATGTACATTACAGTACATTACAAGAATACTGTCTCTCTCTCTCTCTCTCCCTATATTGTGTTGACGTGTGATATTTATTTGGGAATTGATGCGAGTAAAATAGAAATATAACGATGTACATTGTATTACAACATTTTTTGATGTGAAACATCTATAGCCGCACGTAAAACCGATTTCTGGCGTGGCGACGCATGCCGTGGCGACGCGTCGCCATGCGCAATCGACTGTGCGATTCTCTCCCACTCGATTCGGCGTTAAGCCATCTCTCTCGCTACACTGAGCTCAGATACCTATAGTGTATACTCCGTAGTGTATACAGTGTTGTTTACTACACTACACATAACCTGTGTTTTACTTGAAAACAAATTATTTTTTCGTAATATTTTATTTTATCATTATTACATATTTAGTTTCTATCACAATCTGTTCTTTTCTGCATATTACTTTTACAAAATAATGTCGATGTTTCACATCTGCCAGGCGTCCCGTGACGGCTCACATTTTTTTCATTGATGTATAATATTTTTTACGATCGCCTAGAAAAGATCGCCGTTAAGTATCAGACCGGCTTTTGTGCTACTGCATATATGGCGCATTGTATGAATAATCAACAGAAGCAATAATCTGTAAGGCTAGTCTGTGAGGACCGTCGCCCAGTGCAAGGCCGCGTCACCTGCACGAAGGGTATCCGCTCGATGTACTTGCTGCGCTGGCGCGTCACTATGTCGCGGTACACGTGCGCGGGCAGGTCGTAGAATATTGAACTCTTCTTGTTCGTCATCGAATAGGCCTGCGCGAGGGTCACGTCATTAACACCCTTTTTTTAATTGCCTAGATGGGTGAACGAGTTCACGGCCCACATCAAACATCTATAACGTAAATGCCGCCACTTAATTACTGGTGCTAGGACCTCAAACCGAAACGCATTACTGCTTCACGGCAGAAATAGGCAGGGCGGTGGTACCTACCCGTGTGGACTTACAGAGGTCCTACCACCAGTAATTACGCAAATTATAATTTTGCGGGTTTGATTTTCATTACACGATGTTATTCCTTCACCGTGGAAGTCAATCGTGAACATTTGTACGTATTGCAGTAGATCGGTACCCGCCTGCGGGATTCGAACACCGGTGCATCGCTACATACGAATGCACCGGACGTCTTATCCTTTAGGCCACGACGAGTTCAAACCGTCTCTCGACATGCGTTCATGAGATCTTCCAATCTGTATCAAAGAGAATACTACCTTTCAACGACTATTTTGTTTATATTTTTACTAGCGATCCGCTCTCGCTTCGCTTCGGAAACTGTAATTTATTATTGATTTCTCCACTATTCAATAGATGTTATTATACATATAAGCCTTCCTCTTCAATCACTCTATTTATTAAAAAAAACCGTATCAAAATCCGTTGCGTAGTTTTAAAGATTTAAGCATACATAGGGATATAGGGGCAGAGAAAGCGACTTTGTTTTACACTAGGTAGTGATTACCTTATCAGTATACCAGCAGAGCTGGAGGTAAGTGATGAATCTCTGTCTTAATACGGGATCCATTTGTTTCCTGATCAGGAAATTCTTGACATTCTCGATACAAGCGTCGTAGTCTTCTCTGAAATTGTGATGGAGGCTGTGTTGGAACGTTCAGCTCAACAAATAAGGAACATTCTGACCGGAACTCACAATGAGATGAACGATTATTTATTTATTAGCTACCTGGTGTTAAGTGGTTACCGAAGCCCACAGACAACATCGACACCAATGAGGCATGAGGTCTCTACCTAGTCCTTTATCTTATCCATACGCTAATGCATTTTATTATATATTTGTATGACGCGCAATGCAAGACAATTAATCACAGCACCCAAGACGGTGGCGGCTGCTAGCCCGTTGTCTCTACATTTCATTGCGGCTTTACAAGTATTTAACACTAAACATACCAAAATGGGTCAAATGACCCATTTTAACTACCATTGGAGATGTATGGAAATGGTAGTGTAAGATAGAGGGGGAAGAGGTCGACCGAAGAAGACATGGATGGAGTGTGTGAATGACGATATGAGAGAGAGAGAAGTGAGTGTTGAGATGACGGCTGATAGAAGAGAATGGAAGAGAAAAATTAGCTGTGCCGACCCCAGATAGTGGGATAAGGTGGAGAAAAAAAAAAAAAAAAAAAATTGGCATCTACCATTTTTTAACTTTTGCATTGAAAATGCACATATCATCTTATAGCTTTTGCACATTTGACTTCATGACATTTTCTTACCAATCAATCTAAAGTTATTATACTATTTTTATTTATTTATTGCTTAGATGTATACTATTTCTTTGTTTTGTTTATTTTGAGTAATGCTTGTCGTATGCAGTTATCTACTCTCTATGGTAGAAATAGGTACCAGTAAGTGTTGGTATGATTAGTGTTTAGTATCCTTCGTCTCTAATCCTCCTAATACTCGCACCACGTTTTCTTTTCACATTAAAGCGGCCCCTTTTTATGTCTTACAGACTTGTACACCAACACTAATTACATATTGTCTTATATATATATATATATATATATATAGAAACAGTCGTACCGTAGTGCGCTGGTGACCATGATGGTGGCAGAATAGACAGCCTCCATGAAAATTCGCAGCACTATACACATTTCGAGTAGCAACATCGTGTATATCACATTGTTGAAGTTATCTGCGCCCCAGATCGGCATGTGACCTGGCGCAATATGAATAAAAATCTATAAAATATTTATCTATTTAATAGCAATTTTTAATCTAAAAGTGGAAATTAAATTATTTAAATAACAATAGTATTTTTTATTTTAATGGAAACAGTGTGCTTAGTGCGAGCTTTTTAACGTTCGCGATAGCGTAAAAGTTAACTCAATTTTTTATGGAATTGGAACGTTTGCCTACGTTTGCCGCTAGTGGCGCTGTTCCAATTGGATACAAAATTGAGTTAACTTTTACGCTATCGAGAACGTTAAAAAACTCGCACCAAGCACACTAAAGGTACGTGTCGATATCGGAGGCACCAACTGCATAGAAGCGAACTAGCGAAGATCTTTAACCGACGGTCCGAACGTTATTTTTCGGAACTTGTATCATACATGTAAACATATCTTGAGAATGTCGGATTCCCGAGAATGGTAATACGGTGACCGATATCAGTTAAATTTTTATTGAAATTCATCGAATATAAATAAATGTACATACACAATGCATACAGTTACGTGCTGACCGTCTCTCTATCTCAATCTCTCTCACACACACACACAGGCGCGGCTACCAACTCTGTGTAAGCGCTCACAAGTAAACGTGATCATGGATATCGCCCAGTAGAGACCGAAGCTCAGTCTGCTCTCCACCATGGCGTCGTCCAGCGGCTTGTGCTCCCAGTACGGACGGTGCGTGAAGTTGGACACTTGACAGTACTCGAACCTTGGAAACGAGAGTTCGTTGACCTTTTTTTTTATTGCTTGGATGGACGAGCTCACAGCCTACCTTGTGTTGGTTATTGAAGCCCATAGACATCTACGATGTAAATGCGCCACCCACCTTGAGATATCAGTATAGTTACAACGGCTGCCCCGCTCTTCAAACCGAAACACATTACTGCTTCACGGCAGAAATAGGCAGTGCGGTGGCACCTACCCGCGCGAACTCACAAGAGGTCCTACCACCAGTAAGCTCTAAAGTAAGGCCTGCGTCAATCTCGGCTTGCCATGTTCCGAAGTGTGACTTGGCACGTTCCAAATCCACAAGGCTTGATGCCGCATAGGAAATATTCAAATCCAAAATCATTTATTTCAACTTAGATGTCAGTATGACACACTTGTTGAATGTCAAAATATAAATAACAATGTTAACTCTACCACCGGTTCCAAAAAAAGCCACAGTCCTGAGAAGAACCGGCGAAACAAACTCAGCGGGCTTTTTTTTTTGTTTTTTCTCAAATATTTTCTTTTTTTTAATACGGTTTCCAGTTTGGATAGTAAGCGAGTTGTAAACACAGTATAATGAAGAGCCCGACACTTGTCTGCAGGAAGTCGACGACGTCCTCACCGATCTACCTAAGGGCTCTAGTGATTAGTGACGTGAAGTCCGTCCTGAGCTGATATTAAATATCTGCTCTAATGTCAACATCAAAATATGTCCTATTGTGGAATTAAATCAGCGAATCTTTATTACATCACTATACTAAGACACGCACTGGAAGCACATGAAGGCCTGCTGCAGCGCCGTGATCATGTAGCAGGCGATCACCAGCAGGAGGGTGTACGAGAGGAATCTTAACACATTGCTTCGGTACACGCACGTCTCCTCAATTCTCTTCAGTATTCGGAACACCTGAACAGCGACCGAGAACAATGATCAGCAAATTGCACCCGAGATATACCAGGGCGGGGCGGAAGAATGAGGCGTGAATATCATAAGATCTCACTAAGCTATTTATAATAAGTACTAGCTGACCCGGCATACTTCGTAGTGCCTCAATCGATAAATAAAAGATCTAAGCTTTTGTTTAAAAAAAAACTAAAAAAAAACAAAAGGAATCCGTCCGACAGGGGGCACATCAAAGGAAAAACATTTATTTTTATTTTTATATAATTCCAAGCATTTTCATATTTATCTACCTTTTAAACCTTCTCTGGACTCCCACAAATAATTCATGACCAAAATTAGCCAAATCAGTCCAGCCGTTCTCAAGTTTTAGCGAGACTAACGAACAGCAATTCATTTATATATATATACCTAGTCAGGTCATAAATTCTGTCACATGTTTAATGTAAAATAATTAAAACAAGCTTATTCATTATGTAACCATTCATATACCAAAATGAACTTAACAAAACATAGATTCTTATGACACTAAAGTTTATTCAAAATGACCTCCGTGATTTTGAATACAGGCCTTCAATCTGCGCGGCCAGGGATGAGGCTTTGAGCACGCCTTTTCCTCCAAGAGTTGCCATATCTTGTAATCTAACGGATTCAAATCTGGACTGGAGGAGGGCCAGTCTTCGTGCCGGATGAAGTCGATTTCACGCGCCGCCAGCCAGTCTTGTGTGCTCTTCGCTCTATGAGCTGGCGCCGAATCTTGTTGGGATACCCAGTGCTTTTTTTTTTTTTTTTTTTTTTTATGATTGAAAGTTTACTGGTGGCCCGAAGGCCTTTCCAGTTTCACCAGGACAGGTGGGCGAGCAAAGGCTCAGCCAAGAGGGGTGGGATTTGCTAACAACTGCCCGAGCGCCTCCGAAGGAGACCTAACAACTCAAGAGCAATTGTTTCGCGAATGAATCTACTACCGGATCGNGTATGTAAAATGTTTCTATTTGCCATTTATCATAAATAAATGAATATACAATGATTATTACATAATGGTATTATTATTACTCAATAGATAGATGTTCCTGATGAAGTAACTGTTTTGGACTATGCTTTAATATGCAATTCAACAAATATATAGTGTAGAATTGATAAATTGCTGATTTATAGGTTGTTGTCAGTTTAGGTTGCTATTAAACGCTATTTAGAACAACACCGACCCATCCTTTTTCCTTGTAATTAAGAGAAAGCAGACACCTTTTCCTTACTATCGGTTCGAATATTGTGAAACAGGATTCAATTTCAATCAAAACGTATGTATATTCCTAATCAATTTAGATGCTTTTGATAGTATAATTTGAAATGTGTATTCAACCAAAAGAACAAAAGAACTGGAGTGGAGACCTCGTACTGGACATAGTAACTTGGGCAGACAATCAATGAGGTGGGCCAATGAACTAGTCAAAATAGCTGTTAAGGACTGGATGCGAAAAGCAAGAGACCGAAAAGAATGGAGTGAATATGATGAGACCTACAGTAACGGTACTACCTACTTTGGGCAGACACAAGTTAAAGAAGAGAGAGAGAGAGAGAGAAAAAGAGATAGAGATTCGTCTATGAATTCTGTTCACATTGCTTATCACCGTTATTGCTTACGAACACGATATGGACAATAACTACGGTCTTTGTCATTGAACTATCCAAATCATTTTTCTTCATATAGGACTCATGATGTTCTATAATTACTAAAATAGTAAGATTACGATTAATTATCTCTTAAAAAGTTGTTTTTATATGAGAAAATGACCGGATCCCCACTCGTCGCGTGGGTGGCTATCCGTGTCCGTGGGGTATGTGGGAGTTGAATTTCACCAAAAACTCCTGCCACTCACAGCCGGCGCCCGACCCCGTACTGAACGAGAGCCATTGAGACGGTGGAATAGAGTTGACGCAGACGTCGGACCGGCGTCCGCCGACGACGCGACCACCAGTTCCCTCGGTCGACGTGCCAGGAGCCCGCCTTGATGGCGCCGCGCTGCATCTTCCCCCTGAACCACTTTTCCCCGAAGCGGTTGGGAGAGCGATGCCTTACCATCACCTCTTAAAAAAAACTGTTAGTGACTTCCCGTACTAAGTCGTAAGTACTAGAAACAACATTCTAAACTAATTATACGTCATAGCTTAGAGGCGAACGTAAACAAATACTATGGTAAGGGCACGAACATGAAGAAACATCGTTTTTAAATAATTAAGGCGAACCAGCCACGCTTTGACGCGCAGAAGAAGAAAACAAACCAGAAGTAGCCATTGTTTTACAGATTCTTTCGTCGTTAGTACTTTTAAAGACGAATTGTAATCTCTTAGGAACCAATTTTGGGAGTTTGAATTGGTTTTTTTTGGGGCTATTATGCTGGATTCCCCTTAGTTGTCAATTAAATTATTCTTTTTACAACAAGGACTATTTAACCTGGTATAATTTTGATTTATGGTTCGTTTTAGGCACTGAAATTAAATTCTTAAATGAATATGAACTTTTTTTTATGTTTTTCGTTATGCATTGCAGAATCGTAATTTTTACCATACATTTCCTACCCAAACACTTTTACACCGCAAGCCCGCATGACTTACAAATAAAACTGTTAATGTACACCCAAATTTGTTGACTAGGTGCTTTATTTTCTTTGCTATCCATTTCTTCCGGTGTAGCCAAGTGTATTTCACTTTCCCGACCCCAACTCTTTGTGGATAAAACCAACGTGCATATTTCCCTTGGTGCCGCCGCACAGTCGCTCCGTCCAAATTGTGCACGTTGTCATTATGCGCCACGACCAGAGTCTGTAATTGCATACTCGAATTTGAAACAGGGCCGGTCTTGCTTAGGTTTTTGACAATTTTTTTCTGAGGCAAGCGATCTGTACTGTAGTTTTTATCTGTGAATATAGAATTGAGGTATTGAAGTAGCTATGATACAGCTACTTCAATGCAGCTATTTCCGCCGCTTATCTTGAAGCCCAAAATAAGTCTTACGATAAATGACTGTGATTGAAAATCACTACGGCAACTTCAAACTAAACTGATCCGACGATCCGTATGGCTTGAAAAATAGATTTATACAAGACTAGCTGTACGTACCCGTCCGCTTCGCTGGGTTTTTAAAATTAACATTATTATTTCTCACCCCCACAAAGATTCTCATTATTAACGCCCCCGCAACTGGTGTAGGGAGTTCAACACTCATATAAATATTAGCCTATCCATTAAGTACATGTATTTTCTACATGGTTACCAAGTTTCAAGACAATCGGATGCATGGTTCAGTAGTTATAATGGAACATCCGTAAAAACCACTGTAGATTTATATATTAGAGATTATTATATTACCGTAGAGAGTGAGATGAGGACTGCCAACGTGACCTGGAGTGATGTCAAGGAGCAAGCGCAAGACAGGGTAAAGTGGAGACAACTTGTGAGGGCCCTATGTACCAGCGGGATACCCTAGGACTACAACATAGATAATGTTTGTCTATTTTGCCTGCTTCTCTCTTATTTTTACTAATATTTTCTCACTGGGCAGTGATTTCAACGGAGCTTTATCGATAAACCCACGTGCATATTTCCCCTGATAGCCTTGCAAAGGAGTTGCGCGAAAAATGTGCTCTGTAACGTGCCGACACGATTTCCCAACATGGTTTATCCATATAATTTAAACTTTGAGTGAAATTTAAAAAATTAAAAATGTATGTATATGGAAAAATCCATTTCATATAATCCGATTAATCAATGTAATTGATTACCTCGTTGGTTTAGTAATTACCAATAATTACTATACCTATTGTTAATTGCTATATTACTCATTGTTAATTGGAATCAATATCTTTATCCGACATATTCGGTTTTAGTGTTCTAGGTGTTGTTGTTGTAGTCCTAGGGTACCCCGCTGGTACATAGGGCCCTCACAAGTTGTCTCCACTTTACCCTGTCTTGCGCTTGCTCCTTGACATCACTCCAGGTCACGTTGGCAGTCCTCATCTCATTCTCCACGTTGTTCTAGGTGTACCTATTTTAAATATGTATATTGTCATTACCTACAAGGTAGGAGGAAGATCAACCTCGGGAGTTTTAAAGTAGAACGTGTGTTTGTTTTTGTAAATTAATTTAGTAGCGCAATATTATACGATAATGCTTACGAAAGTTTAGTTTTACGAAAAACAAATGGTCGACGAAACTGATCGGGCTTCATCTTGGTACAGCCTCTAACTGGATTTCCTAGCAGTGCCAACAAAAATTGTGTAAACTTTAACTAAATTGCATAAGCGTTGAATGCATAGATAATGAAAAAAATCACCCACATGCAAATAAGAGTTTTAATGAAATTGGCATGTCCTTCTAAAACTTCATTTGAAACATTAAGAAATGTAAAAATATTTATTTCGGCCCTGTGCAAGGTGAGGCCTCCGCGTGCCATGAAACGTGGTGACGATATTTATTTTACTGGAGTCACAGCCGGGTGCTGCGGCGAACCGAATGTCGGAAGTAATTAAAGCTGAGCTCCCAACGAAAACTATACGTGAATTTTTCACAATTACATTTCGTCTGAAAAAGATATTTCCTCAGAAACAGGTAAAATACGATTTTGAAAGTAGAGAATCTTAAGCTGGTAATAATCTCTTGAGCTATTCACACTCATACTCTATCCTCTTCTTTTTTTTGCTGTTAGCCTTGAGAGGCTATTTTAGCTTCACCCTAACGTATTGGTGAGCTCACGAGGCTCAAACCGGAAAAGTTGCTAACACTGGCCCTAGTAACAGCAGTGCTTCGCAGAATCTACCATATGATCGGAAACGTGAGAAGATCCAGCGATAAACTCAGTGGGCTATATCGTCTTAGCCCATTTATATTAACAGTTTCCTGTCTTCGATAACTAATAATTTTACATCACAAAAGGTTTTTTCTTAATTTAGAAGTACATAATGCAGTTTTCTCATTTCATTACTATTGATTATTTTATTTGATTACTCAAACAAAAATATACCTGTATCAAATAAACAAACTTCAACAAATTATCATTTTCATTATCCATATTTTTTTCGATTTTAAAACTATTTTAAAATACATCTTAAACATAATAATATATTTGTGTAATTTCATGAATCCTGATTGCCAGTTAAGAAGCGAACACAAAAACATCTGGTTCCGCATTAAAAAATCTTCTGAAAGAAAGGAATTAGTTGAAGATAAAAGCTCGGGTGATTGATGTCTATCGTTTTGATGGGTTTTATAAAAGATTTGTAACTGGAGGATCTTTGATGATGGAGAATTATAAATCGCTTCACAGATCGAGTTTATCCGATCAAGTTTAACAACCTATCATTTAAATTCTGTTCATTAATGTTCGAAGAATTTCATGTTACCGGATTTTGTTTATATAACTACTTCATGACAACGAGAAGTATAATCCACCCTTCTCAATACCTTGCCAATATTTACGACTGTCTCACTTACTACCAAAATTTATTTCATATTCATTGCTGGACGTGATCCACCGTAGGGTCATTTCAAATATATCACTTGATCCATAAATATCTGCCTTAACAATTAGCCTATTAGGTTTCTACTTCAAGCGCTTTAGTTTTTTATTTTATTTACATTATGTTAGAAAAGTTCATGGTAACAGAAGGCCATTTGAATGCACCTCTGCTCTGATATTACGGATGTTCTAAAAATCAGTCACCACTGTTAAAAATAAGTGATACCGCAGATCGCGGTAGGCAGCGGCTTGGCTCTGCCCCTGGCATTGCTGAAGTCCATGGGTGACGGTAACCACTCACCATCGGGTGGGTCGTATGCTCGTCTGCCTACAAGAGCAATAAAATATATATACATGTATACAAATTTTGGACCAACTAAAAAGTCAGTAGCAAAGAATAAATAAAGTAACTTTAAAAGGTACAACCGCTGTATTCAAATAAATTCGGTTCAGAACTTGTAATTTCAAACTGTTTCCTTTGAATACTAAATTCTTGAAGTTACCGACTTATTACGAAATCTGTGTAAAGTTGTTTCTATCGCTTTTAGACGTAAAACGCTTGAATAGTGCTCGAAGGCCAAATGAATCTTATTGAGCAGATTTTACGATTGTTCCTTTTGAAATATCAAACTTTAGAATAAAATTGGATGGCAGTTTGGGAATAACGACAAAGGAAAGATCTTCCACCAAGCGGGTGAAATTGCTGAGTAGACCGACGATCCCAATGTTCGGAACTTGTATATATGCAAGTTTATCTTGAAAAAGTCGTAAGCAAGGTTCAGGCATCTGTCAAACATATTGTGTAGTATGATTTTTACATAGACCCATATAGTAGAGATATAGATTTTTACCGCTACAGCTGTCATCAAATCTTACTCTTAGATTGATTAATCATTCAATCATAATCTAACTCAGATCATAACATTATAACTGATTTTTTTTTCATATTTATTATTGTGAACAACTATTTGACAATGAATCATACGTAAACAAAGCTAAAGACAAATAAATAAGAAAGACGTTTAGGAATGGAAAAATACACCAATTAAGTTCTTTTCTGTGTAAGGCCCACCCTAGTTACAAATTGAAGCTCAGTGGTCATTTAAATATTGAATCTTTGGTTTCGCTACAACCCTAATGTTTCCCCGAAAAAAAAAAATAACCATTATTTTCTAAAAAAAATATTCATCTTGTGAAATTCACGATCAGGTCATATTTCGATGATTATAGCTTTCAGAAACAAAGACAAACTAGTTTTACAATTTTATTTAAAAAATATTATTCAACATTAAGATTAGAAACAAAATAATTATTTAATAAGAACAGAAATTATCATTTCGTTTCGGGCAGTGTCTACAAATCCGGTCCGGTTAGGATATCAAATATTTATCGTAGCAAAATTTAACCTTTAATTTATAAGAATAACTTTATGTGGCTTTCTAAAAATTAGATAATCGAAAGAATGGTTGAGAATCCACACAATACAAGATGTATTCGGTCTGCGACATTATGTGCAAATAGTGGATGTCATTGCGTGCGTCGCATTCCCATGTGTCCGCGTTCGAAATTGTAGCCAACCTAATTTTAGACAAGTCGAATTATTTGAAGCAAATCCCATTTCACGGTGACAAATTCACTTGCATTATACATAATATTATCCTATAATATATCGACAGCAGCAATAGTTGTGCGCTTGCGATATGGTGTTATGGTATTTTTAATACACTCAATTTCACATTCTTAAAGTACTTTGACAACACTTTTTAAATTTTACAATACATTTGTAACCAAAGAGAACTGTATCTATATTATGTTTCACGAGAAATGCTCTGAAGAATTATTAGAGATAATTCCGTCATCTATTTCTGTCTTCACACGGCCCACCATTGAATTGATTCATCCATATTCATCTTTTATCCATAGAGCGCTTTCAGATACCTTTTTTTTGAAATGAACTTACTACCAAATTATGTCTATTATTAGAGAAAATATACCTATAAGAGAAATTAGAAGTATGAAATATTCGTATTAAAATGAAATTTGAAAAGTCCTTTCCATTCATAGCATTAAGTAGTGGCTTCCCAACACTATTAGCTAGGCCCTAAGGAAAGATAACAATAGAACCTTAATCTATTTTAGAACTACATTGATATTGGGGTTACAAGCGATACAAACAGTGCTTAAATACTGATGGTAGGACCTCTTGTGAGTCCGCGCGGGTAGGTACCACCACGGTGCCTATTTCTGCCGTTAACCAGTAATGCGTTTCGGTTCGAAGGGTGGGGCAGCCGTTGTAACTATACTTGAGACCTTTGAACTTATATCTCAAGGTGGGTGGCACATTTACGTTGTAGATGTCTATGGGCTCCAGTAACCACTTAACACCAGGTGGGCTATGAGCTCGTCCACCCATCTCACCTATAAAAAAAATAAAAAAAGATACACAAGTTCTGAAGGTAGCAATAGTTTAAAACAGTTATAATTTATCTAACATAAACCAGTGCATCTTATATTTAAGGAGTTTAACGAGCAGAAGATTTGTCATTAGTAACTCAGGGATTCTCAATGTAATCGTGCACTTACCTTTACCATTTCGAATGCAATGAAACCATTCACAAAACTTGGAACAGCTGTCGATTCTTGCACGAATTGACTTAAATGCTCATTCAAGTGCATACAAATGTTTTTTTTTTAAATAACGGCCTTCATTTCTGATTGAGGTAAAGATATATTTTTTGTGAGTCGTAAACATAAACAACTTTTAAGGTTTAATCTCGCGTATATTACTGTTATTAAGACCTTGGGCTATAGGTACTTGAGCAATGCGGAACATTTGTTATACTACTTAACTTTTATTTGAAATTACATTTTAAGGATCGTCAGATCTAAAAATGACTTCAGTTTATAGAATACAGGGTAAAGTGAATAATCGTGCCCTAAAGGAATAAAATCGTAAAATAAAAGTTATACCTGCAAAAATCATAATTTTCGTATTTATATTGCAATTCAGATCATAACAGCTCAAGTCTAAAGGTGGGTAGTGGCTTTCATTTATGATGTCTATGGGCTCCAGTAACGATTAGATACGAGCGAAGCCAAGGAGTCGTTTGCCGAGCTATGCAAAAAATCGTCTAGTTGCACGTCTAGTCTAACTGAAATTGTCTAGATATAATTTAATTATAACTAACTAGTATATGTAAATTTAAAAACTTTAAACACAGACTTAAACAGCAACAATTAATTTCATCTTTTTTTTATCCTGTTGATACTGATAAGATTATTAGAGCGGACTTATAAAAATATTTTATTGTCATTGGTTCTTGATACATGTGCGAATTTTTAAGTTAAACGGATATTTTTAACTTGGTGAAAATGACGTTCAACATTTCCGCTACATACATACACACATACAAACTTTCACACATGCTGAGCCAATAAAGCGTGTTAAAAGGCAGTTCATTGAATGCGTAATCAAGTGATCAAAATATTAAAGTTCAATTTATTAAGTTTGTATTGGTTAGACATTCCTATCCGACTCTCGTCCATAGAATATTCAATCAAATGATTCTATTTGCAGAATTTCGTTTTATGTGATCTCGCTTTTCGTTCCACGCGTAAGTTCTTACAAAATCCAACCCAAAACATACGGTCTGAAATTAGGTCGCGCAAAATTTTAACGACAAATTATTATTTTTGATATAAATTATTTTTATTTTTAAGTAGGTACTCTATCATAAACAACTTTTAAGTAGTTTTAAATTTCAAAACAATTTATAATATTTTGATGAATATAATGTTTTTTCTTTCTCGAAAAGCGAAATGTCTTCCGCTTTCTTTGGATGATGTTAAGTATCTGTTCTGACGTTATTATCATTTCCAACAGGATAAATGGCAAAGTTAACCTAAAAGTAATTACTTAGAAAATGAAAGTGTTTTCTTTGATGCAAACCCTCTGGCGGTTTGAACGAGAATTTATTTTCAGCAGCAAAACAACTGTATCACGCCAAGAACGGCGATAAGTTCCGGGCAAGGAAATTTAGACAGTTCGTCAACCGTGCAAAGAAGTTCACGATAAAGGATCTTCATTGAAAACAATAACCAGTGTTTCCTATAACCTTGTTTTAGGAAATGTTACGGGATTTATGGGACCCAGTCTTCCTATAACAATCACAGATATACAACGACACACTAATGTTTAAGGTAATGTAAGGTAAGTTACCACCATCCTGGCTGTTTCTGCCGTGAAACAGTAATGCATTTCGGTTTCGAGGGTGTGACAGTCGTTTTACTGTAACAACTAAGATTTAGAACTCATGTCTCAAAATGGATAACAGCATTAAAATTTACGTTATGGATGTCAATAGGTACTAGTAACCATTTAACATGGGGTACACCGTGAATTCGTCCACCTATCTTAACAATAAAACAAATAACAAACAGTATTAAGTGCGAATTTAATTGTTTAACAAACTTAATAAAGGTGAAATGCAGATTTTTTTATTACGACATCTTGACGTATTATTCCGCAATCCATTCACATAATGAATACACCATTTCAAGATATACCATTCTAAATCATTTTGATTTGAGCGCTGCCTTATCCTAGCAAACAGAACACAATACTACTTTGCGATGTAAATAAATTTGGCGCCAAATACCGGCCCGCATCATGGCTTGCTACAAATATATCTATAGTTATATGTCGCATCCGGACACGACAAACAAGGTGAAAGCGCGCCATCTAGTGGTTGTGAGCCGCAACTACTCGTCAAACTCCGACTCCCTTCGGGTGGTGTGCTTCGACAGAGTCGAAGTGTCATCGCTCGGGTTGAATGCACATTCGTTGGCTTACTTAGGAAGAGTGAAGACGTCTCGGAACTGTCATCGTTTAGTACTGCGCAATCTCTTTGCACGACTAAACATTCTGTGACATATACATTCCCATCTATTAAACAAGAAGGTTCAATTAAATATTTACATGTTAGTTGGGCAAAATAATGTTACTTGTGCTCACAGAAAATGCTGCGAATGGGTTGAAACGAAAAACCACAATAGGCGCTAGGGAGGCAGTTTTGTCTGTATGCTCCGTAAATCCGTGCGTTTTCTTTATGAAATTATTCGTTACAAAGGTTCGGATGTTTTCACGTGAGAAGCATTTCGCGTTGAAGGTAATAAAGTTGTCGTTGTTTACATATGAAAGGGCGATACAAAAATACACACTTTATGGTATTTTAAAAGCAATCTTCAAAGTTGTAGGTTTTTTTTTTTTGTTGATACAATAGAAAATGGTGACCGGCAATAGCAGGTACAAAATTCCGATACATTTAGCTCTTGAAAATTATTAATACTCGTTTAGCTAAAGTCAAGTTATTCTAATGTATAGCAGTTTTTTTTTTTTTCCTACCTAAGCCTTGAGAGGCTATATCAGCGTAACCGTGGCTAGTAGGTGAGCTTACGGGGCTCAAACCTGACGACGTTGCTAACACAAACCCTAGCAAGAGCCGTGCTTCGCAGAAACTACCACCGGATCGGAAACGCGACCCACTGAGAAGATCCGGCGAGAAACTCAGTGGGCTGTATAGCAGATTAGCTTCACAAAAACTATAGAAAATCACCATCCTTTTTCTATTTTATAACTACGAAAACTATAAAGTATTCGTAGCCTCCGACGTAATTGTAAGATAAAAGAAATATACGCAAATAATTTCGGAATAAAAATACCACACATACCATAATGTGATTTTCAGAAAAATATTTTCAATTTTACTTTGGCACGTGCCCAGTTCGTTGTCAAAACATCCATCAAAAGCTACTGCTTTCTCGACTACACATACATAGCTATAAACATTCTAAAATTAAAATTTTAAACGATCTTTTTCTTAAGTTTATTAATCTTTTAAAGCACAATATTTGTAAAAAAAAAGTCTATCGTTATCTCGTGCTCATTGTCGAATACATACCTCCGATTTTCTTCACCTTCGTTTGTATTAGGTGTATTCATCCAACTGGTTTGTTGCCAATATAATAATATCGTCTGTCCATTCTCGTGATCTGTTCTTTTCACGTGTGTTGCTAAAAAGTTTCCAGTGCAGGGTCTTATTAATGACCACATTAATCCATCCTGGTAATGTGCTCTGTCCTGTCACCGCTTTGAGCAATCTGTCAACTTTTTATTTTTTTATTGCTTGTATGGGTGGACGAGCTCACAGCCCACCTGTTGTTAAGTGGTTACTGGAGCCCATAGACATCTACAACGTAAATGCGCCACCCACCTTGAGATATAAGTTCTAAGGTCTCAAGTATAGTTACAACGGCTGCCTCACCCTTCAAACCGAAACGCATTACTGCTTCACGGTAGAAATAGGCAGGGTGGTGGTACCCACCCGCGCGGACTCACAAGAGGTCCTACCACCAGTAATTACGCAAATTATAATTTCGCGGGTTTCATTTTTATTACACGATGTGGAAGTCAATCGTGAACATTTGTTGAGTACGTATTTCATTAGAAAAATTGGTACCCGCCTGAGATTCGAACACCGGTGCATCGCTCAACACGAATACACCGGACATCTTGTCCGTTAGGCCATGACGACTTGGACGACGACAACTTCCAAATCATCTGTATTACCTCCTAACTGTACCTGAATTTCCTAAAAATCATCCGAAGCAAAACGATAAATCAATACGTTTTAACTGTAAAGAGTTTTAACTCTCATAGGAATTAATTCAGCCGTAATTACTAAACGCCTACATGATCATTAATACTTGTTTACGAAATCGTCGATGCGGATCTCATCACTTTCTAATCTGCGGCCAAACTTTAATCAGATGCGTGTAAATAATGTCCGCCATTTGTACACGTCTCAGTTCAGAGCAAGTGTCCTTGTAAACTTTTTTATGTTTTGATTTCGTGATTCACGGTTCAAATGTTCATCGGGCAGTATTCAGACTTTTATGAGGCTTATGAGACTTTTTAAGGCTTAGACAAGCTAGATTTAAGAGATCGTTGGCTATTTATTGGTGAGCTATTGGACTGGCGGCAAAAATCCCAATACGATAGTCAGTTTAAATACAACACCGATTGGGTTTTTGTTTCGAAGCCTGCTTCCTTAAACCAATTGTAATGATCAAAAGACAATTATTCGGATTAAAAGTAAACAGAAACAGAATGTATAAGAAATTAGAATACGCTAGCGCAAAAAATTTAAGGATAAGATGGTTTCCAGATTGATCTAGAATCATTAAGTGAAAACTTTATATACGTGAAAGGGATGTAAATAGGCATTATAATTCTTGGATTGAATTCGAATCCCTTCAAATCGAACAATAATTCCATTTAAATCATTACCAGCCCAGACTCAAAGCAAGGAGCCGTGGTATACTTATATATGATATAAATGAATTGCTGTTCGTTAGTCTCGCTAAAACTCGAGAACGGCTGGATCGATTTGGCTATTTTTTGTCTTGAATTATTCCTGGAAGTCCAGAGAAGGTTTAAAAGGTGAATAAATATGAAAATGTTCGGAATTATATAAAAATAACAATTTTGTTCTTCGTTTGATGTGTCCCCCGCCGTACGGATTCCTTTTGTTTGTTTTAAGTTTATTTTAAACAAAATTTTAGGTATTTTATTAATTGATTGAGGCACTACGAAGTCTGCCGGGTCAGCTAGTATTTTATAAAGTAAGGTATATTTTATATAGCTTCATAGAGTATTTCTGTTAATTAACAAATTTAACCGTATGTTAAGATTGTGAGGTCAAAGCACCTCATGAAAATACATTCTATTATTCGATCAAACAATACGCCGCCGCTCTGTCATTTAAGCCTCGTGCCTTAGTCTTCGATAATTAGTGATTAAAAATCTCTTAAAGAATTTCATTGTTTATCAATAAATGATCACGCCCACCTTTCGTGTACAATGGATCTAAAAGGCTTTGAACGCTAATTATGTAGGATGCGGTTATATTATTAAGGTTTTAAGAAGGCGTTTCTAGGGATCCGTGAGCAAAAACCAACAAAAACTCTAGAGGTATCATTTCGTTTGCTTGTCATAGATATTTTATTTAGCGGCAAAATAGAGAGTAGGTTATTTAAATCGCTAAGTAATAAGTTTTGTAATCTCGAAAGAAATAGAGGGGACTAAGATTTGTAGTGTATGCTCTGCCCCTGGCATTGCTGAAGTCCATGGGCGACGGTAACCACTCACCATCAGGTGGCTCGTCTGCCTACAAGGGCAATAAAATAAATAAATAATAATAATTGCATAAAATCATATTAAGGGATATTATTGGATGGGCCTTCAAAAACACGTTAGTTAATAGTTGGGAGTTATTTGCTTCTAAAGCCAAAAACAGTTTGCCGCTTTATAACTTTTTGATTTTCGAACTATTTATTATGTTCAATGTATCAATTAAAATTTAAGAAAATATGTCGAACTCTTTTTCAAATGTGAATTTTGGAACGAAACAAAACAATTGTATGAATCAGAAAAACTCACGGGACATGTGGAATTAATTATTTTGTACCAAAGGAAAAAAAAAGCACAATAAAGTTGGATTATATTACGTTACACAGTGTATACAAAAGTATTTATTATTTTACCGATACGTATTTTTCTTTTTCTTTTCCTTACAAAATCCTATAGCTGACCGGTCAAAAACATTTCCCTTTGAAAGCTCAACTGCGTAAAACAGTTCATTGTTATGGGTTCCTAGATCAAACAAAATAAAAAGAAACAAAAAAAAAACTTGTTTATTTCAATCAATAAATCCGCGAAACGTCCCGAGCTTTCTCAAATTAAATTTTCGTAGGTTTTTTTTATGTTTTTTATGCCCTTGTAGGCAGACGAGCATACGGCCCACCTGATGGTAAGTGGTTACCGTCGCCCATGGACTTCAGCAATGCCAGGGGCAGGGCCAAGCCGCTGCCTACCGCTTAATACTCTCCACAAGCCTCTTTTAAAGAAGGACATGTCATAGCGCTCGGGAAACACCGTGGAGGGGAGCTCATTCCATAAACGGATGGTGCGTGGCAAAAAAGACCTCTGGAAACGCACTGTCGATGAACGCAGCGGTTCCAGATGATATGGATGAACTCTGCTCCGATGGTGGGAGGTGCGATGATAAAAAGAAGATGAGGGGATCATTTCAAACAATTCCTCAGAGCACTCCCCATGGAACATACGGTACAAAATACAGAGGGAACCAAAGTCAGTGAAGATGGGATTATCGACAAGGTTCGTGGGCACTATAAGTTTCTGTTCAGCTTACGGCTTAATCTCGTGTTTCTATTAACAACCGACCGGTCATTCGTCACGACGACATCTGTAAAGTATTGGAAACATTACAAATAAGATAACGACATTAAAAAAAACGCTTGATTAAACAGTATAAGTTATTCTAATAATATCTACGACTGGAAAACCAATGAGAATACTAAATTTTATGTTTTTTCAGTAGGTTCGTGGCAAAGGAATTGTGTATAAATAAAACTAAAAGTAAACTACACCAAAGCAGGGCGACAAATGGTTGACTGCATTAAGAGCCGAGAGATTTCGCAGCAAAGCTGCTGAGCGAATTCCTATGTTTGCATTCGGAATCCGTAAGAATTTATGTGTGAGCACTACTGAGTACCAAGTTCTACAGAATATCATACAGAACCGTATAGTAATCTATACATATAAATAAAATTGGAGTGTCTGTTTGTAACATTGAAATAACCGCTTTTTACTACATGCATATGAATATATATACGGTACATACACCAAAATAACATTTTTTGCAATTTTTGTCTGTCTGTCTGTCTGTCTGCCTGTTTGTTCCGGCTAATCTCTGGAACGGCTGGACCGATTTTGACGGAACTTTCACTGATAGGTAGCTGATTATATAAGGAATAACTTGGGCTACTTTTTTAAGAGTAGTTTTGCCTCGCGGCGTCACCCGCGGTACGACAATAACCGCGGGTTACATCGCGGGACTCGGCTATCAATAATAGAATTTAATGTTTCCGAAGCGAAGCGAGAGCGGGTCGCTAGTAACAAAAATAAAAATAAAAGATGTGTGGTGTCGTGGGACACCGGATAGGAACGAAGTTCCTTATTATAAAAATATTAATTTTAAGTTCTATTCGAGGTATAAAGAAAATAAAACTGGAGGTTTCGCAACAGCCCACGGTCATTCGGTAACGTGCGAACTTATTGTGGTACACTTCATTCACGGTTATTTGCATAAGAGTCAGTGTATTGCGCAAACGAACGCTCTGAGATCGTGGTCAATGAATGATAGAAAAATATGTTATTTTTTGTACGTTATTACAAAGTTAAGTCGTACATTGTGTGCATTACTAATAAACATCTTACGTTACGGACGTTTTTTCCCGATTAGGGTACCCCTCCGCATCGTGCCATAAAGAACTTCGTTCCAAAAAAAAAAAGAATAAGAAACATTTTTATTGAATTCCAAATAAACAAATTATCAACTCAACTGACATTAAATCGAGAACAAAGCTGTAAGCGAACGGCTCGATACATGCGCATGCAATTAAACTAATGTAATGAGATAACGAATTAGCATTGCAAATTTTAAAATAACAATATACTTTTTTTACAAATGTGTGTAAAAAATTCGTGCGAATACTTCACAAGCAGTTGTTACAGGCAGCATGTCTTGGTAAGTCGACGAATATTTAAAAATTTATTTTATGAGTTTTCACTTTATTGCATATATTTATAATAAATAAGTTTTCTGAACAAAGTTTTAGAGAATATGCACAAACAAGAGAATCACTAACTAACATCAGTAAATGTAAATGCCGTTTGATGATCGCATTGCTTCGAATATAATGCTAATAATAGGTTGGGGAAAAAGTCTTTTCGCATTATAGTATGTGTGAACTTGTAATAAAATCTCTTTGGCTATTACTATTTGTATCTGACTGATTTTGGTATCATTAAAAGTTTAAATTTTAAAGAAGATAATTTCAAATTCAAATAAGGAAAATGTGTGATTTTTATTTATTTTTCGTACTGTCAAGATGAGTGAATCTAATGAAGAAATTCGATACATTTTAAAATTTTACTACAAAAAAGGTAGAAATGCAACGCATGCCGCAAAAAAAAACTTGCGATGTTTATGGACCTAGTGCAGTGTCTGTAAGAGTAGCACAAATTTGGTTTAAGCGTTTTCAATCCGGAAATTTTGATGTCAAAGATGCACGTCGCTCTGGTCGCCCTATTACGAATAAAATGGATGCCATTTTTGAAAAAGTGGAGCAAGATCGGCATATCAGTAGTTACGACGTAGCTGGAGAACTGGAAATTAACCAAAAAACAGCTTTGGTGCATTTGAAAAAACTGGGTACACAAAAAACCTCAATATTTGGGTACCTCACGAGCTCACTGAAAAAAACCTAATGAACCATGTACTCATTTGTGATACTTTATTACGAGGTAATGAAACCGAACCATTTTTGAAGAAGCTGATAACTGGTGATGAAAAGTGGATCACGTACGACAAGAAAGTGCAAAAAAGGTCGTGATCAAAGGCCGGTCAGGCTTCACAGACTGTGGCGATACCCGGGTAACTCGCAACAAGGTGATGCTGTGTGTGTGGTGGGATTGGGCTTTATTCATTATGAGCTGTTGCCACAAGGCAGAACCATCGATTCTGAACTCTACTGCGAACAACTGACGAGATTAAAGCAAGAAGTTGAGAGATAGCGGCCGAAATCAATTAACAGAAGGGGTGTGGTTTTTCATCATGATAACGCTAGACCTCACACATCTTTAGCCAATCAGCAAAAATTAAGAGAGCTTGGATGGTAGGTATTAATGTATCCGCCGTATAGTCCTGACCTTGCACCTTCAGATTTCCACCTGTTTCGATCTCTTCAGAATTCTTTAGGCAGTGTCAGGTTAACATCACGAGAGGACTGCCAAAACCAATTGTCGCGGTATTCTGATCAGAAGCCCCAAAATTTCTATAACAATGGGATCATGTCCCTACCTACAAGATGGCAAAAAGTTATCGAACAAAACGGTACCTACATACTTTAGTTAAATGTAAATAAACTATATTAAAAAATGTTGTGAATTTTCTTAAAAAATGCGAAGAAACTTTTTCCCCGACCTATATATAAATGCTAATAAATCTATTTTTTATCTATAGTTTGTACATTTATGTCTACTACTGTATATGTATACTCAAATATAGGGTTGCCAAAGGCTTGGTATTTCCCGGGACGTCCCGTATTTTAGGCTTAGTTTAAAATGTCCCGACGAGACTGACTCTGTCCCGTATTCGAAACGATTATAATTGTAATGATTTTTATAAATATGTTAAAACTGACTTGCTCCTCGGAGAAATATAATTTTTTTTAATTTTAATTACAAATATTATTAAAATAAATATTTAATTTTGTTTTTTATTTGTCCCGGGTAAAAAACTAAATTCCCGTATGTTTTTGCCTATTTAAGCATTTGCCCCTTATAGTTGATTTGTTGGCTCTTTTCGAAAGAAAAAAAAAACCTAACAAATTTCAGACTCCAATTCCTTTTGCTTAATAAAATGTTGCTCATTCAAAATTAGTTTCAATGAAACTTGCATGACTCCAACGACTGGATATGTTCCGGATCTCTTCGCATCAGCTCTGAAGTTTTTCAGTGCGGCACAGTGTCTTATCACCGAGGACTGGCCGAGAGATGCAAAAGTCAGACGTAAGCAATTTTCCAAACTTATTTATTTATTTCACTTAAGCCATAATACATATAAGACCTTCTTCGCTATTTATACCGTGAGAAATTAATTGTGTCTTCTAGTTTGAAGGAAGGAGGGGGAGGGATCATAAATATCATACAATTGAGATCGTTTTACTTCTTTAAGACTAAGCTAAGCACAAAAAAATGTTGTCTTTCAAAGAGTCTAAATTCAGTGTATTCTGAATTGTGTGTGTTTCATTTAAGACTAATGAATTTTATTGTATTGCTTATGGTGTTTAGAGATTATCACAACTTGTCTTGAGATATAAGATAAAAGAATAAACTATATCGGTTTTTGTTTTATTTCAAAAGGATTCAATACTAGGCTAAAACACAACACACACTTAAACAAATTTTAGTTTATTTCAAATCATTTTAGTTTTGCTATTTCAAACGATTTCGCAATGATTATTATCAGCCATTAGACATCCATTGCCTGAAATAGATGTCTGTTAAGGTTCAATAGCATGAATATCTTGGACTGCCCTCATCCAGCGGATTTTCTTGACCTTAAAAATGTAGTCATTACGTCTTATGCCTACCCCCTCCGTCTGGTGGGCTTTCTCCGCTTATGTACTTTTTGGGCTGCCGTTTTAACCTCGCAATCCTTAAGGCTATTTGGTTTACTATAGTTCTGCTGGGAACCTTTTTAGGCCTACTAATACGTATTATTGTGAGGGATCACGCCACAGCGCCATGTGTCATCATTGGCAAGAAGCATTGCTTAAAGGCTTTCGAATTGAAGCACGGCACTATTTGGTATGAGAAGATTCAACAATGTACACAGCATTGTTTTTGTAAATTAATTTTTATTTACAGGTTATGAAACATTCGATTTCATAGTGGTGGGAGCGGGTAGCGCCGGCTGTGTATTAGCTAATAGGCTAAGTGAAGTGAAATCCTGGAATATACTACTCATAGAAGCAGGTGGCGATCCGCCTAGTGAAAGTATTGTATGTATTAATGAGTTGCTTACCGTAAAATATGTAGAATGTAGAGATAAGACGTCTCATGCATTCGTGTTGAGCGATACAACGGTGTTCGAATCCCAGGCGGGTACCGATTTTTCTAATAAAATACCTACTCAACAAAATATGTTCACGATTGTGAAGGAATAACATCGTGTAATAAAAGTGAAACCCGCAAAATTATAATTTGCGTAATTACTGGTGGTAGCTCTTATGAGTCCGCGCGGGTAGGTACCACCGCCCTGCTTATTTCTGCCGTGAAGCAGTAATGCGTTTCGGTTTGAAAGGTGGCAGCCGTTGTAACTATACTTGACACCTTAGAACTTATATCTCAAGGTGGGTGGCGCATTTACGTTGTAGATATCTATGGGCTCCAGTAACCACTAAACACCAGGTGGGCTGTGAGCCCGTCCACCCAACTAAGCAATAAAAAAATTAAAAAAAGCTTGTTAGGCACCATGTAGCTTAAATACTTCAATACATTTTCAATACGCATTTTAATAATTCATTTAATTTTCGCGTATGAATTGTTCTAGATACCAGCATTAAATGCTTTAATTTATAAAACAAAATATGCCTGGCAATACGAAACCACTTACAACGGTCTCACGAACGAGGGAACGAAAAATAAAATAGTATTTTGGCCCCGAGGTAAAATGCTCGGAGGCTCCAGCAGCATCAATGGCATGATATACATCAGAGGAAACCCATACGATTATCAGAGATGGTATAATGCTGGAAACAAGGAATGGCATCCGGATACTGTGAAAAAGTACTTCAAAAAACTTGAAAACTTGCAAAACTATGATTTATTAAAAGATCCCTTTGTAAGTGAATCATATGGACATTGTGGACCTCTATCAATAAATCGTTTCAATAGTACTTATCGAAACCTTACACTTCAAGTTTTAAAATCATGGCAAGAGCTAAATATTAGCAACGTTCCTGACCTGAACGCTGCAAATGTATTAGGATCAGGTATCTTTAGTGGAACTCATTCAGATGGCAGAAGAGCTAGTGCAGCGAAGGCCTATTTAAACTCAGTTCGAAATAGACAGAATTTAAAAGTGTATAAAAATGCATTAGTCACTGAAATTTTACTTGATTCTACGAATAGAGCATATGGGGTAAAATTAGAACGCAATGGTAAAACGAAAATAGTTTTTGCCAAGCTTGAAGTGGTCGTGAGCGCTGGAACAATAAACACTCCACAATTATTAATGTTGTCTGGTATAGGTGAAACAGAACATTTGAAATTATTAAATATACACCCAAAAGTACATTTACCAATGGTTGGGCAGAATCTGCAAGATCATTCTTGTGTTCCTATATTTGTTTATGGAAACGAACCTGGTGAAGATGATGCAATTAAACAGAAATTTGAACAAATTTTGTATTTATATAATCGTACAGGATACTTAGCTCAAACTAGAATATCTGATGTACTGGCCTTTTATGCGTTTGACAAGAATGCAATATACCCAGATTTTCAAAACCATTTAGGTATAATAACGAAGAATTCACCTAATATTCAAGGAAATGCCATGGTTTCCGATTATAGAGATGAAATAGTGAAAGACCTAGAATATTTCAACAGCAATTACTCAATCTATAACTTCCGGTTTAGCTTATTGCATCCATATTCAAGAGGAAATGTAACCCTTCGATCGAAAAATCCCAAGGAACACCCGATTATCATGGCAAATTATTTCCAAGATCCAAGAGATCTAGATTTAGCGATCAAAGGTATAAAAATAATTACCAAAATAGTGGATACAACTTACTTCAAATCTATTAATGGTTTTTTAGGTCGGGTAAACTGGCCATCTTGTAACAAATTCGCTTTAGACAGTGACGAATACTGGAGATGCATTTGTTTGATTTTAGTAACCACAATATACCATCCTGTAGGAACATCTAAAATGGGCTTAGACCCAAAAACAAGCGTCGTCGACAGTCGTCTGAAAGTACATTTTACCAACGGACTTCGTGTTATAGATGCAAGTATAATGCCAACAATAGTAAGTGGAAATACTAATGGACCTACATACATGATTGCTGAACATGGCGCTGACATGATAAAAGAGGATCATGGCATACCAATTGATCATAGTTATTGTTAATCATTTATTTGTTGTATTCATTCGGTTATGGATTTACCTTTTATTCTTATATCCAACAAGTAAGTAATGATTCAGTTTAACCAAATAAGTGATTTTATTTTAAGTTTCCAGTATCCGTAATGTAATTAAGATTTTATATCAACTAATCAATGTATTAAGATAACATAACATATAAAAGGCTATTCAGCTGTTAAAATGACGGTCATTATGGACATTTGTTATGTAAGACAGACTATAAATATTGAAGTAGTGAAATAAAAATTGTAAACCGAAAACTTCTACGAACTTCAAATAAAACCCACATCCAAAAAGAAGGTTTGTCGCCTCACGAAAATAAGATAATAGTTAACGGAATTCGAGTTGATCCTCTTAAATATGCACTCGTGTTTAATCTTTGTGATTATGCGAACACGACCTCGTAACGAGGGTTCGATATACCTCAGCTTCATTCAAGGATATTTAGCATTGTTTTAATTAATATCCAAAAGGGAAGCAAATGACTCCTTTTAAAAAAATATGCACTAGAGAAGATGTTTTAAGACATGTTAATTTTTGTTTAAAATAGTGAACTGCTATTTTACACAATGCAGTAAATTACATATTTTATAACAAAAAATGTTAATTGATTTCATTTGTGTCCTCAAGCGCTATGATATTTATTATATTTTCTACTTCTATCGAGCTTTTAAAAAAATAGCTTACCTGTAGGCAGTGCCTTGTCTTGTGAGTCATAAATTTGTTGCAATAAAGGTTTCTGTGGATGTCTTTACTATGTTATAAAACTTAACGACACAAATTTACAAATCCTTTATCCTCTAAAACTTCTGCTTCTTGCTTCACATCACGTGAGGTCGGCGCAGCATGTCCTCTGATCAGCTGCATGAGAATTTGGTATGAGTCTAAGGCCGGTCGCCTGCCAGATGTCAACTCTCCTTGAGTTATATCCATACCAATATGCCATAGGGAGGGACTTTTTCTGTTACTTATTTAGGTTTTTATTTTACTTCATCCGTTTTTTGGTTGTATGGTTTGCCTTTTATAATTAAAGCACTTGCAATAAAAAAAAAATTGTGAAAATTTTATTTGTAAACAAAAAAATTTGGTTTACAAGTAGCATATCGGTTTTTTTAATATTGTCTTTGCTGGCACTAAAACATTAAAAAATATCTTTTAACTATTAAATGAAAACATTGTTCTTCCAGTTTTCGTGATCACGTTGATAACAAAAACTGGTCACTTTTATTATTATTGCCCTGGTATGCAGACGAGCATATGGTCTACCTAATGGTGAGTGGTTACCGTCGCCCATGGACTTCAGCAATGCCAGGGGCAGAGCCAGGCCACTGTCTACCGCTTAATACTCTCCACAAGACTCGTTAATACATAGGCCTCTTCTATGCTGCTCTTTTCTTTGCTATTCAGACGGGGTGAACTGCCTCTTCGGCGGTCTATAGGTAGGAGACCTGATTCGCCAGACGGCGAGATCACTTTTTTATTACGGATATCAGGTCGGGGGGGATAATAGATCGGGTTGTATGGGACTCCAACGCCCTCGTCGTGGCCTAAAGGATAACGGCGTCCGGTGCATTCGTGTGCAAGCGATGCACCGGTGTTCGAATCCCGCAGGCGGGTACCAATTTTTCTAATGAAATACGTACTCAACAAATGTTTACGATTGACTTCCACGGTGAACGAATAACATCGTGTAATAAAAATCAAACCCGCAAAATTATAATTTGCGTAATTACTGGTGCTAGGACCACGCGTGAGTCCGCGCGGGTAGGTACTAACACCCTGCCTATTTCAGCCGTGAAGCAGTAATGCGTTTCGGTTTGAAGGGCGGGGCAGCCGTTATAACTATACTGAGACCTTAGAACTGATATCTCAAGGTTGGTGGCGCATTTACGTCGTAGATGTCTATAGGCTCCAGTAACCACTTAACACTAGGTGGGCTGTGAGCTCGTCCACCGATAAGCAATAAAAAAAAGGTCTCTCGAATTTCTACCCTCGGTTGACAGCAAGGCCGAGACGCTGCTTCCGTTACTAGTAGTGGTCACTTTACCTTGCCTATTCCGTGGTGAGCAAATCCATCGCAACTTGTATTTATATTTTTATATATATATTTTTATATGAAATTAAATGCAATTATGACTATTTTAAGTGCTTCGTCGTTGCTTGTACAGATAAATTGTAATCACTATTTCGTCTTGTATAATATTCGATTTAAGCATCTGAAATGGATCATCCTGCCTATTTCTGCCGTGAATCGGTATATTCCGGTTTAAAGGGTAGAATAGTCATATAACGCAGTACTGGTAAGAAATCCGATGAAACAGTGATACCCTTAACTTTATGATGCATTTGTTTTCTGGTAACCACTCAAAACCAGGTAATCCAAAACCAGGTTTGCGGTAGGCAGCGGCTTGGCTCTGCCCCTGGCATTGCTGAAGTCCATGCGCGACGGTAACCACTCACTATCAGGTGGGCCGTATGCTCGTCTGCCTAAAAGGGCAATAATAAAAAATCCGATAGATTGTCTGATCACTTAATGCAATAAAAATACGTACAATTCGTTAACCATATTTCCGTAAAACAAAATTAAATATCATAGGAAGCCCAAATATTAATAATTGCTCTTACAAAATACGCGGATGGTTTTCGGTAGATTCTTAAACAGAATTGTATTATATCCATCTTGTTGAGAACTCGATACAAAAATCCCAAGTGACGTGAAGCCAGCGACGTGATTAATATGAGACATGATCAGTGGGTACACTGGCCACACAGGACATAGGGCTGATAGTTGCCTTTTTGTCTTCATTAATATCTAGTATAATAAGACTGTAACGATCAAATCGAGAAGGCTATTTGAGCATACTACTACTACTGCTGAGCTGGCGCTATGACCCCGAAGTGGGTCTTGACCTCCGACAATAAACTTTGCCATTTATCCCGGCGCTGCGCAACACCTTGCCAGTTTGACACTTGGAGCTCCCGTAAATTTCCTTCCACAGCGTCAGACCAGCGGTACTTGGGCCTCCCTACGAGGCGGCGTCCCTCCGGTACACCCGCGTACATCCGTTTCACAGCCCGATCCTGCTCCATATGTACTACATGCCCCAGCCATCCGAGCCTCCGTGCCTTCATCTCCCTCAGAATATTTGGCTCATCAAATATTTGAATATTTGAGCACACCTCACTTCAAATTTAGCTATGTATTAACTTGAGGTCCTGCGAACGTCCGCCACAGTATAAATCATGCACTATGACATTTTCTTTCATCTAAAATACAAACAGATTCGTGCTGTATTGTCGCTCAATTCCATAAAGATAACGCTAGAAAATTTGCTCAAAAATATATTGTGTGAGGCATTAGCAGACGTAGTACGTAACTCTACTAAACGTCACCTGATGCGTGTGGTCAATACCTTCTTAAGACGGGAGCCGGAGGTCTGCTAGATGCCTCATTATATTAGGGATCACAAAATGCGAACTCTCAAAACCGAGGCCGACGAATTCACGATCTTGCTGGTGTTAAATAAACACTGGAATCCCATAAACATATCCCTATCTACCTTGCATCAAGAAGTAGAAGTTCCAATTCGATTGTATTCTTCGTTTAATTACTTTTAAATAGAATAAATAAAAAATTGGATGGATAAGTGACAAATGACAGTAGCGAAATGAGTATGTGGCGTTTTACTCGTACTAGTGGTCCCCGGTAGTCGAATTTCGACTATAATTAATTGAAATTATAGGTTTGTACACTATTATGATTCTACTGTCAAAGACTATTATACTTCTTTAATCACAGATTTCGCCAACACTACACTTTAGACAAATATTAATAAAAACAAAACACTATTCAATCTATTTTTTTATTTATTTTTAAGGGATTTTATGACCTGGTAACTAAGACCTTTAAGTCATGTCTTATTTTAATTTATATTCATATTTTTATGAAAAATGATAAAATGTAGTGAAATGAAATAAAGATGATTAATTTGATACATTAATCAACTGGGATGAAATTAAATGAAATGAGGTGAGATGATATGGGATGAAATATAATCTCAGTAAAATGGTGATCATTTACTAAGATTTTTTACACACATTTAAACCTGAAGAAACACTAAATAGACAAAATAAAACAAATCACACAACTTCACTCCTCGCATTCCCGCCAAAAAGTCCCCACTATTTAATCTATTCTCAATTTAACCACAGACTATAAGCAATAAGAAAAGTTTGACAATAAACAAATAGTACACATGCGTGTGTGTGTCAAATACATGGTAGTGTGTGTAATGTCTTTTTTTTATTAATTTAATGTATTTTTTATGCATAATTAAAAAAAAAAAATCTGCAAAAACATTCTGCACTCCTTCTCTACATTCTCTATAAATCTGGGAAATTCCATACTCCTCCGTCCGCGCAATTTTCGTAAAAAGGGGTACAGAGTTTTTGCTTCACGTATTAATATATAGATATATTATACAAATAAATGTTTTTGCGGCTTTAATATCGTGGTTTAGCCTTCAGCTGAGTCCTGAAACAGCTAAGCTAAAATAAGATCTTTAAAAACCTTTTTGCGTTTTTTCTAAGTTTTCTGATAGCCCTAAAAAGGAACTTTCACCCTCTGTTTCTGGCTTCGTCAATTTCCTGTAACACTGTTCATGTGACGGGAGAAATACAAGGAATACTTAGCGGTAATGAAAATCAGTGTACATTTGATATTATAATAAAAATAATTCCAACGAAGCTACCCAACGAAGATATGTCGTGAGCGTAATGTGGCCTAATACATGTTTAATTGCAGTAATTAGTTGAATGAAAAGTTAGACTAAGCCAATTTGAGCTCCTGAATATTCAAGAAAACGAAGATTTTTAAAGACAGCTATTCGTTCCTCAATGCGTTTTTTTTATAGCTTAGATGGGTGGTCGATCTCACAGCCCACCTGGTGTTAAGTGGTTACTGTAGCCCATAGATATCCACAGCG